GCCAGTGGCGGGTCCGTCTTTGAGCCAGCTGGCATTGGCTCTATCAGACACAGGGGAAGCTTCTAGCAGCTTCTCACAGAAGCCACCCCTGTAGACCCCCCTGCTACCAAAACCTTGCCATGCAAACCCAACACAGAAAGGTGTCCTTCCTCCATCTGTTGGCAACACTGCTAATGCAGTCCAGGATGATGTTGGCCTCTTTGCTGTGAGGGTGCGTTGCTTGCTCATCATCAGCTTGTTGTCCACAAGGACCTCCAGGTTCTTCTCCACAGAGCTCCGTTTTAGTTAATCAGCCCCAGTGTGTACTGGTGCATGGGGTTATTCCTCTCCAGATGGAGGACTGAGCATTTCCCTTTGTTGAATTTCATGAGATGCTTCTCTGCCCAGTTTCCCAGCCTGTTGAGGTCCCTCTGAATGACAGCACAACCATCTGGTGGTGTATCAGCTCATAGTTCATATGACCTCTAAACTTGGTGAGGGTGCACTCTGTCCCAGTAGGCAGGTCATTAATGAAGATGTTAAATAGCCTTGGCGATAGTATCAACCCCTGGGGTAGACCACTAGCAACTAGTATTACTGATTGCCACTCTCTGGGCCTGGTAGTTCCACCATACTGCCCAAATGCATACTGTTGGACAGGGTTTATGTGTAAAATGACTTAAATTCTGTGATGTTTCATTGCTTTTTGTAAGAAAAGGTGTCGCTGTATGTTTCCATGTTGTAGTAGTAATTGAAAGCCAATTTAGTCAAGAGGTTTACCAATAGATACTATCTTAAGAAATTTACAGTGAAAGCTTCTGCAGGTTTCTTTTTGATAGTAAGATAATTTTCTTAAAGTGTTTATGTAATCACAGATAACAGCAAGTTTTGTTGACTCGGGGTTTGCTGTTTCATTGCATGTAATGCCATTCTTCTGTCATTTTTCTACTAATTTTTAAGTCCAGGGTCAAGTCTTTTTTTGGAAGGTGTTTACTGTGAACATACTGTTACCATGTTATGACATAACCGCAATCAAGAGGGAACAATAATTAGTAAATCCACTAATACAAAAAAAATTTAAAATATGAGGACCACACAATCATTTTGTGTGCCTTTCTGCTATGCCTGAAGAAGGCCAAAAGATCATTCCTATCGTGTCTTATTGCTGGTAGAATTTTACTTGTGGCCGTGAGTGATGGGATAAATGTGATGTCGTGTAACAGCCTCTTCAGAAAGTCTGTCTGAGGGTTTGTGATAATTCTTTATACTGAAGAATTTTGGGCATTTTCACATTGTGCAGTTGATTTTTATGGCCAGTGTCCTTTGGGCTGGAGGTCTGGCACCCTAATCCGCCACTGAGTCAGGGACCTTGTCCGTGAGGTGAGGAAGGCAGCCTCCCCTCCTTGCGCCTGCCTTGCAAGCTGTGAAATAGGAGCTGGCTGCTATTGACAGTGCTTCCAGGCTTCATTAGTGTTTGTTAAACCACTTTGAGGTCCTCAGAAGGAAGGTGTTATAGTGTTCAGTTATTCTATTTCTGAAAATGGTTGCGGCAAAGGATTTTTTAACTTTTTATGAATAATATTTCCTAGCTAATGCTTGCTTCACCCTTTCTTCTCCCTCCTTCAGCTCATTTCCTCCGCCCTAAAAAGAGCAGAGCTTGAAATATGAGACTAAAATTTATTCTGACTTTTCTCAAGTAAAACTCAAAACAACCCCAAAACCAAACCTATACCACCTCATAGTTTTTCATTATAGAATCCCTCTTCTTGGTTGTCACAAAACCTGTTTACTACAGGAATATTGATAATTCACACGTACCTTTCTTCTTGGAACAGATTAACATATTCATTAAATCTGATTCTACTAGGATGTGTGTACTGCAATGCTCTGGCTTATTTACACTGCAGTAGTGGTGGCAGTCTTTCATTCTGAGTCGTGCAATCTAAATTGGTTATAAGCATAAAAGAAAATGAAATTGCTTTAGGAATAAACTTTATTTGGGAAAGAAATTTGCTTTAGATATATGAGGAGTAGTAGAAGATGAAGTTCAGCAGAGGATTTCTTAAGGAAACAAAGGAGGATGTACCCCAAGTATTACCTTTCTCTTCTCCTTTTTTAAAGAAAGTGTACTTTTTTTTTTGTTAACTGTAGATTGTAGTCTCTAGCCTGCTAAAATAATGGGCTCTTGTTTCATTGATTCTTGAATCATGTTAACTTCAGGCTTCCTGGGTTATCAAGTCTGTGATGAGAAGTCAAAGATACTTAAAATACCTTAGCCAAGGAAAGAAACTACTAGCACACCATCACAGTTAATATAGTACCTGGTTTACTTTCAGACTGTTAATAGTAATAGTTCATAAAGTTCTTACTTGATCGCTTTGATTAATACAGGATAGTACTGGAATGAAGTTGTGGAAGAAACGGTGGTTTGTGCTCTCAGATCTGTGTCTCTTCTATTACAGAGGTAAGTTCCACTCAGGAAAGCTCCATTTGCTGTTTTTACTGGAAGCAGATAAATTTTGACACACCACTCAAATGTAAGAAAATGAAGCTGCTACTTAACTTATTGGGCAAAATAGTTGTATAGCTGTCAATATTCAGGCCAGCTGCTTCCTCCCCCCTCCCTTCTTTCTTAATTACCGATTTCACATAATTGCTTCCTGCCTGTCAGGTATACGCAAAGGGCAAACCCCTTCACAGCCACCTCTTTTATTAAATTCTGGTTTGTAGTTTTCTCACTGCTTCTGTTGTTAGGAATTAAATATGCCAAGTTAAATCTGATTTTCATGCAAGTGAAGTAATTGAAATGGGGATAGGAAAGGGATAGTGCAGGGGAGCTGAAACTCTGCCTTTGGAATGATAAAGAAGATGTACATGCCTTTTGGGAATCTAATCAGTGTACCTGAATACTTATAAAGTGAAATGTCCAGTTCCGTATGAGTAGAAATCTCTGCTGTATTTGGAACACAGAAATCTGTTAGTAGCCTTATGTAGCTACCTGAGAGTTATTTTACATGGGAAAAATTAGCTGCTTATAATTCTAGTCTGGAGGTATGTATGTTAGAAAACTGATTCCTTCACCATTACAGATTATTAACTGTAGTGCTCCTGAGGGGATAAACAAATGGGATTTGTGCATATGGAAACATTCAATCCTGAAATAAGGTGTACAACCATAATAGTTTAAAGGAGACTGAGAGCAAAGACGACTGTAAAGCATGGTAAAATAAAGGAAAACTATCAGTTAAGGCTGTCTGCAGCCTTGCAAAGGGTAAGAAAGGATTTCAGATTAGGATGAGACTTCAGAATTAGTAGAAGTGGTGTTGATGCTGGTGATGCTGAAAGCAGTGATTGATGAATTTAAAATGCTGTTCTATTAAAGTGCAGCACGGTTCTAGTCTAATCAAGACAAATCAGTTTATGAAACACAAAAGCTTTGTCTTTGTAACCGTTTTAGTTAACAAGTTCTGAATTACTGAAATATAATCATTAGGCTATCTTTACCCCGAGAAGCATACGTAGTTGGAGGAACCTCTGCTGAGTCAGAGTTAGGCTATAATTTCAGTCATGGAGGCATTGATTGCAATACAATTACACTGCATTTAGTTAAGTGGTTGTTGTATACTCTGTGCTTTCTTATAGGGTTTTCTTATTTTAAACAAGTCTTCAGGCTCCTTCTTGCAAAGGTTCTAAAGAAAGTGCTACTTTGTAGCTGCCTTAAGATCAGATTAAAATAACTTAAAGTGCTGTACGTGAAGTATCTCAAAATAAAAGAAAAAAGCAATAAGCAAAACCAATAACAAATAAAATAAATCCAAACAGCTCTATAATCTTACTTTTTCATTTCTGCATGTTAGTGTGCCAAATAAGCTGAAATACAAGCAGAATAGTCTGAACTCTTTACATGATGAACTTTTAGCTTTTAGCTGTTGTTCACTTACTAGAAAACAGTTAAAGGTGATAAACTGTAATTAAACATGTATAGTGATAGTCTTAAAGATATTAGAAATAGCTACTAATATATAAAAAACTTGCACTTTAAACCCTGTGCCTTTATGTTTTTGTTAATTCTGTCTCAGATATTGAAAAAATTGAAAGGGGGGAGCCATGCACTTACTCCCAGGTTGCAAACAGTGTTTCTGGTTACATGACTGTGGTGGTTGGGCTTTTTTTGGTTTTGTTTTTTTGTTTTGTTAGTAAGTCTTACTGAACTTTTACAATTGTATTACAATGGTAGCAGCTAAAGCTTAAATCTAATTTATAGATTAAAAGAAAAATTATTTCATTGTATTTTTTCAGAGCTTAGAGAGTATTCTTTTTCTGTTTCATGGAGGGATAAAAGGCTGCCAGCTTTCATATTGAAAGGTTATTGTTGCAACAAATAAAAGATCTTAGAGCTGGACAGAAGGTTTGCTATTTTTGTCTTGTATTATTCACACACAGCATACAAGTAAAGATGGGTATGGGGCAGTGTGATGTGTAGATAAAAGCTAGTCTGATGGGAAACAGATTTTCAAAATCTGGAAATGGAATGTAGCAGTATGTCTTTAACAAAGACCAAAGTCCTCCAGACATGCAGCTGTTCAGTGGAACAAAAATGCTTAATGCTTTTGTATGGCACTGGTAGGTGTGACATAGTCATAAGTCAGAGTATAGTCTAGCAGAAGAAGGGAATTTTTCCCCAAAACAGCAGTCCAAATAAAGTAAACCCCAACATTTGCCATGCCGTTTGGGACAGGGAAAAAAAAGGCAGATTTTTTGTGTGTGGCCAACAAGGAGTAAATATTTGAGGGGGGGAGATGGGATGGTTTCAGGCATACTTACGAGTACAGTTGAGTACCTGAAAGGAAATACACTCTCTTCACTTCTTTTCTATCTTTTAATCCTAGTTTTATGCTCAGTTCTCCAATTAAGTAACTATCCAGGAAAGCATGATTTTTACATCTAACGTTATGTAATGCTAATATGGCTGGGCAGAGCGTTTCCCATATGAATAACTTAAACAAAAGTTGTGGTTTTTCAGAATTTAGTGAGTAAACAAGAACCGGGAAAAGAATTTTAAATCCAGGTATAGGAGGTAGTCCTTTTGTACTGTTTACGTGTATTTTAATTGTAACAGTATAAATTTTCCCTGCTTGAAATGTTGGAATATCTGTGTTTTCATCTTAATTTCATAGATACAGAGTAATTTGTTGTGGCCAGTATCTTCAACTAAGAGAAGTGTTATGGAGAGAATCTCCTAAGATACTGGTTGTGAATAGAAGTTCTGTATCTGAAACGCAATTAAGATTGACTTTGTGAATTGCATCCAATTGTCCCTTTATTAAAGTATAATTGGATTTAAGAGCTTTTTATTCCTTCCAGTTAAAAAGTCATTTTATTATTGTACTGTATTGTTCTAAAATTTTACAAAAAACCAATGTTCTTGAAAAAAGGTGTTTGGTTTGGGGAAATTTTGTTTGTTTTTTCCAAATGATCTGAAGCATATGCGTTCTTACAAATAGAATGTAATTGAGTGTAAACTGTTCATGGAAATTATAACAATCTCACAGCTTAATGTGCTCAATATCAGAACAGAAATGTGCAAATTGTCTCAAAGAACAACAATCATACACAGTATTTCAAAATACTTCTGCTCTAATGAGTATTTGCAGTTTTTACTGAGCAGGCAATAGATAGCAGGTATTGTTCTTGTCGCTGAATTAGAGGCTTGACTTCCGTCTACTTTTCAGCATTGAAGGTGTGTGCAGGTAAGGACTCGTCCCCAGGCAAACTCTAGGTGAAGCTGTTCGTGGTGTTTTCCATAAGGTAGCTCACGTACTGTAACCTACAGAGCTGGCACTCTCAGGAGGTTTTTTTATGCTTGTCTGTCTTGGGGGGAAAAAAGTTGAAGGTGGCCGTATTCCAATGGCCTGTATTTCCCAGTGCTTAGCAGGTTTTTGGGGGCGGACACTGGTGTGATGCGGGTTCTGAGGCACGTGTTGGCAGAGAGGGACTGCACGCTTCTGAGACTGCGTATAAACACCTATGTAACAAACTAGTCTGGCTTTCTGACTCTCTAACGCATTTTCTTCCAAGGTAAACTTCTCATTAGTGGTCTTGTGTTGTTAAATACAGAGTTTCACTGAAGGGTCTGAATACAAGCATTATGTGTCAAAACACTTTGTTTCTCTAATCAAAGACTATACATTCACAGATGAGAAAGAAGAAGGAATACTAGGTAGCATACTTCTACCTAGTTTTCAGATATCTGTGCTTTCTCCTGAGGACCATATTAACCGCAAATATGCCTTTAAGGTAAGGGAATCCAATTTTCAGTTTAATTTTATGTCTGAAAGCCTAGTGAACAGAGCTCATTTTACAGAGTTGTTATGCAAAATAGGATTGACAAACAGCTTCTGAGACTGATTTTTGCATAATACAGTAGCAGAGGATTCAAGTATTTAGCCTCACGTAAATAAACATAATTACTAGAATAAGAAAATGAATGAATATCACTTATTCTTTTATTTTTACTTCATGGATCTTAAATACTGTGTGATGTTTTAGAATTGTAAACTGTATCCGCAGCTAGACTTATCCCACCAATGAAAGTTCTTTAGTTATTTAGACATGAAGTATCTTTGCATGTAAATAAAAATAAGGTTTTATTATCACTTAAGTCACAATATTACATGAATCATTGTTAGGAGTGTTTCACAGCTAATCTTTTTAATCATGATATAAATCACTCTGCTAAATACTTTCTCTTGACTTTTTTGTTTGTTTTATGAGCTCCTTTTGGATCTTCTTTTGGCCTCCTAAGCAACACATAATTTATTTACTATGGTAAGTACAAATTAAAGCTTTCTGTGTCATTCAGACTGCAAAAATCTATGCCAAAATCTTATTTATTATAATTATATTAATTTACATTAATGGATAGTCAAGATAGTTTTTAATAGATTGAAGACATTTAATGGCTTTTTATTGAGTGTATTAATGAAGAAGCAGCTATGACTGAAAATTATAGGCAATTATTTTGAAAATATGAATGCAGTGACAGAGAAACATTGAAGTATTCCTCTATTTTTGTGATACTATTATTTGCAGAAATCTAATTATAGAAAACATTAGAGCAAGTATACAGTAACATTGTTTGCCTCTTTTCTTTTACAGAATCTTACATTTTTATTGCAATGACCATGTCATTTCCAATCAGGCAGCTCATCCAAACATGAGGACCTATTATTTCTGCACAGATACAGGGAAGGAAATGGAGTTGTGGATGAAAGCCATGACAGATGCAGCACTTGTGCAGACAGAGCCTGTAAAAAGGTAACGTGGATTTTCAAAACAGTGTGTATTTCTTCCATATACTTAGTTTGATTTCTTTAAATGAAAGGGCATACCTTAAAATAGAATCTAAATTGGCTGAAGTAATTTGTCCTTATATTGAAGAACCCTTACTAATTTAACAATGTTGGATAAAATTTTGAAGTAGTAAAAATAATGTAAGTGCTGTTCTGAGTATGGATGACTTAAGAGTAAAGAGCTAGAGGACAAAAACCTGACTAGTTCCTTTAGCTGGCGGCATCAGAAGAGTTGCAGTGGCAAGTACCGTGTGTAGGCACGTTTGACTGCCCCTGCCCTCCTGACTGACCAGCAATAGCAACTCAACTGGTGGTAGTCTTTGGCTTAAACTTGTCATAAGTCTCAAATTCACAACTGTACTTTCTGGCTAAATTAAACAGTTGCACTTGTGGGCAACCTGTGAGGAGCTGTTCTTGTTCAACATTAAGCTGTTAACAAATTTATGCTTACCTGATCCGGAGCCTTATCCTTTATGTATCCATATGTTCACAAGGAAAAGCACGTTATCACTGGAAGCCTTTTGTTCTCAGAAAATGAATATTGTCTGCTGCTGTCTGTCCAGTAAGAATCATTTTCTCTCTGAATGTCGTCCTTTGGATCAGCTCCATGTCATCTATAATGGAAACCTCATCAACAGAAAACGTAAAACCTCTTCGTTCTTGATGGCACAGAAGTTATTGCTGATGGCTGCTGTCACCTGATCTGCTGCTGCACTCTTTTAGTTCCTGCTACACTGGAGCTAAATGAATGACAGCAATGCTGAGAAATTTTAAGTTAAAAAAAATTAAAAAAATAAAAAATTCCATGGACACAGATACCAAAGAAGGTGAAAGGTACAGTTTTTGGAGCAGAGTGAGCACATTGAACTTCTTGTCAAAATACAAGCAGTCTTTCTGAATTTTGCAAGTCATTCCTGTTAACTTATTCCTGACACTTGCATATTCCGTGTTCCAGTACGGTGCTGGCAGAAGTATAAAGTGGAATGCAGAATTATTAGATACTTTGTCTTACATGTTTTAATGTTTTATGAACTACTTAGTCAAATGTAGTGAAACTCACACCAACGTATAGAACATTCAGAAGGATAACTGTAAACTAGGAACACTTTTAAATTTGCACCTGTGCAACCATTTAGTCACTAATCTTAAACAAAAAGTTGAAATCTTAGCTCTTGTCTCTAATATCCTTTAAATATATGGATAGTATATGAAGTATTTCATGCTTTGCATTGGACACCATAGTGAAATAGTTTAATAGAAAAATACATTGCTCTCTGTACTATGGCAGAATGACACATGTACTTCAACCACTCAGCTGTCATCTTTGTTTTTCCCAAAATTGCTGAAAATAAAAGATTTCAGGTTGTAGAACCTGAGTGGTAGGTCCATTTACCACAATGAAATTTGATCTGATTATGTAAGATTTCACATTACATATGAAGACGTTATGTTCTTTGTCTCCTGTGACCCTCCTCATGTTTGGGAACAGTAGATGATAGGGGGAAAGGATGAGCAGAGTGAGACAGAGCATAAGCAAGTAGATACTTAGTAACATTCCCACCTTAAAATTTCTCTTTTCAGAGCTTTTAAGAGGTTGTACTTAAAAGAAGGATGTTACCTTGACAAAATAAAATATCTCCTTTAGCTTAGTGAAAAATAAACTTAATCTGAAAAATCAGTTTTGGTTTGCATTGTGAGCGTATTACAGATAGCTGTGGTAGGTTGCAGATGGAGAAATGGGTAAACCAAATCAGACCCACTTTACTTCAACAAAAGTCATGTATTGATTGTATAAGCACTTTGTAGTGGGAATAATACTGAAGTGGGCCATTCTGAATCTCTTTGAACCAGTGAAATGACCTTCATTTGGTATTTGCACTTTATGTAACACTATCTTGTTTTAATTCAGGCAAGAAACTTTAGAACGAAACAGAAGTAGATGTGGCCTCTTTGAAAAGTTTGTTAGTAGTCTTGAAATAATTACTTGAGAGAAGATACATTTCAAGACCAGTGAAGTCTCGAAGACTTTCATGTCTGTTAGCTTTAATAAGGAAGAAAATCCTTCAGACATCTGTTTTCTAAAAAAATCCATCTTTTGGCTATCAAACCAGTTCTTAAAATGAACCATGTAACAGGATATGATCTTATCCAGAAGAAATACTGTTTCTGCCCTGCAAAAATCTGTTAAGTATTAAGTATTGTATTACCTCATCTCGAAGTAACCTAAAGTTTGGCATGCACATAGCTCTAAGCATAAGTGATGTTGGTTCAGTCAAATTCAGCCTGTGCCTGCCTTTCTCAATTCTGTTTTTTCTAGAGGTTCTAACATTGTACTGAATACAGTTTTCTAACAGACTAGATACTTAGGGTAGAATAGATTTACTAAAAACTTAAATATTTATTGGTGGACAAGGGAAGAGCAACTGACATCATCTACCTGGACTTGTGCAAAGCATTTGACACTGTCCCACATGACATCCCTGTCTCTAAATTGGAGAGACATGGATTCGATGGATGGACCACTTGGTGGATAAGGAATTGGCTGGATGGTCGCACTTAAAGAGTTGTGGTCAACGGCTCAATGTCCAAATGGAGACTGGTGACGAGTGGTGTTCCTCAGGGGTCGGTACTGGGACCGGCACTGTTTAACAGCTTTGTCATTGACATGGACAGTGGGATCGAGTGCACCCTCAGCAAGTTTGCCAACAACACCAAGCTGTGTGGTGTGGTCAACACACTGGAGGGAAGGGATGCTATCCAGAGGGACCTTGACAAGATTGAGAGGTGGGCCCGTGTGAACCACATGAAGTTCAACAAGGCCAAGTGCAAGGCCCTGAACATGGATCAGCGCAATCCCAAGCACGACTGCAGGCTGGGCGAGGAATGGATCGAAAGCAGCCCCGAGGAGAAGGACTTGGGGGTATTGATTGATGAGAAGCTCAACATGAGCTGGCAGTGTGCGCTTGCAGCCCAGAAAGCCAACCAAGCCCTCGGCTGCATCAAAAGAGGCGTGACCAGCAGGTCGAAGGAGGTGATCCTGCCCCTCTACTCCGCTCTTGTGAGACCCCACCTGGAGTCCTGCGTCCAGCTCTGGGGGCCCCAGTACAGGAGAGACATGGAGCTGTTGGAGTGAGTCCAGAGGAGGGCCACAAAGCTGATCAGAGGGCTGGAGCACCTCTCCTGTGAGGACAGGCTGAGAGAGAGTTGGGATTGTTCAGCCTGGAGAAGAGAAGGCTCCGGGGAGATCTAATTGCGGCTTACCAGTACCTGAAGGGGGCCTACAGGAAAGATGGGGAGGGAGTGTTTATCAGGGAGTGTAGTGACAGAACAAGAGTTAATTTCTTTCTTTAGAAAGAAATTCTTTACTGTGAGGTGGTGAGGCACTGGAACAGGTTGCCCAGAGAGGTTGTGGATGCCCCATCCCTGGAAGTGTTCAAGGCCAGGTTGGATGGGGCTTTGGGCAACATGGTCTAGTAGACGGTGTCCCTACCTGCAGCAGGGGGGTTGGAACTAGATGATCTTTAAGGTCCTTTCCAACCCAAACCATTCTATGATTCTGTGATTATGCAAGCTGATGCTGAGCCACTCTTAAGTAATTGTTAATATAAATTGCCCAATCATAAGTCAGAGTTTTTACAATATAGTTCTTTACATCTACAAGTCAAGGTACTTCACTGCTTATAATACTCTGGAAATTGAAACCCAACAGTCTGTTAAATTGAATGTTTCAGCTTTAAACAATTTCAGAGCTACAATCTGTATCTTTATTTTTCTGAGGATGTTGAGTTCCTTGGAGAGAAAAAAGATAAAAGGGATATTTCAAATGTTGTAGGAGTTGTGCCCAGTTTTCCATAAAATACTCTTACTGTCCACTTATAGTTAGCCACATAATACAGAAATTAGATACTGAGTTAAGAAAATAAAAAATGTAACCATTTCTTTTAGAACTGATCTGCAGTCAGCAGTAAAACGCCCTTCTGATGCATAACTGCTGGGAAGGGCAAATATTATTTGATCATATTAGTTAACTGTAATTACTCCTTTCTAAACACTTTTGTTTTAACTGCACCTAGATAGTAAATTCAAGTTTAATTATTTTAATAGGTACGTTATTAAACACAAATACTTTAGTCAGTGAGGAACTTATGACTCAAATAAAAAACAAATAAAAAAAATAAAAAGCTTATGACTCAACATACGGTATCAAACAACCTCTCTGGATTAGCAAAACATCTTGCTCATTCCATATTGTATCACTGCAGTTAAGTGGTATCTATGAGTACTGATTCCTTGCTTATGTTTGTAGATGCTAATATCCACCAACATAGTGATTTATCATTTTTACCCTAAACGCTGATTTCTCTGCTCTCCCATGTTTAAGAGCATCATTTTTCTATCCTTTCACTGTCAGCTGTGTGTGCTAGAGCCTTTGTTTCTTCTGAGTGATGCAGCATGTACTAAGAAAAGACTTTTTTGTTTTTTCTCCTGCTAGCGTAGTTAGTTTCCCTGAACAGCATAAGCTAAGCTGCCAAAAGAGTACTTGTTAGCATAGCGACATCCACAGTGGGGGTTACTGACGTCACTGTGTTTGCAAAAGATGCCTTTGTCTTTTCAAATGTCTCTGCCTAGCTTTGTTAAATGACAGTCCTCATGTCCATCTGATACTTAAGTACATGCTCCCCCCGCCCCCAACCCTTTCAGAATTATCTATTTATATAAACCAGCAGAAAATAGTACATTTCTTGCATTACTGTTCCATATATATTATTCCTGTTTGGATGGAAATTTATAGATTGCATTCAGTATAAGCTGAAAGACGTTTTCGATGTTCATTCTCTTTGTCTTCTCCCTCTTCCATCCTCAAAGTGCCCTGTAAGTCTTGTTGAGTGTGTGTTTGAGAGCTAGATATAAATACGGAGCCAAATATAAATATGGACTTATTTTTCTTACATTTACCTATTAGTTTCTGATGATTCTTTCCCATTTGGATTCTTTGCTGTAGAAAGAGATCTTTTGCTCACACTGAGTTGACTGATTTGATGCACAAAGTTAAAGGAGGGCCCAGAAGTCTATTTGACTGTCAGTCATTCAGCCTCTATGCCATCGCAAAGAGTGTCAAATATAAACACTGGGCTCTGGTGTGTATAACCATAATAACAAGTGATAAAACGTAGAGCCTGCATGGAAAAACAATTCCGTGATTTTAGGGTTTGTTTTTTTTAATTAAGATCTACAGTGGAAAGTAGCATGATAGCGTGAGTCGAACACTGTGCCACGTCTTGACTTTGCCACGTATCTGATGAACGTCCTTAGAGATGTCATTATTCCTCTGCACCACAGATTTTCCATCTGTAAAATGGCAACTGCTTCTCTGCTGTAAAGCACCTTGAGGAAGATTGATATAAAGTGCTGTATCAGGGGCTAGATGATACTCTTAAGGCATGTTGCATATATTAATGCCCGTGTTTAGGATTATTTGCAAGTAGTCCTTGCATTTATTTGTAAATTCTTGAGCACTGGCTGAAAACTGAAATTTTAACACCCTTTTTTGACTTGATAATTGTGGGAAATGGAGTCTTTCATTCACTTTTCTGTTTGGGGAATTCCTTTATTTTGTGGCAGAACACTGGTTAGTATAGTTTTGAGGTGGGAGGGAGGAGGTTGGTCCAGGTTTTTTTCCATAACCTTGAGAAGGAACCTAGGCAGAAATGTGTGGTATTGGAACAGTTTAAAGTCTTGGGGGGCGGAAATAAAAAGAAAACACCTCACTTTTAAATTGCAGTAGGAGATTAGCATAGCATTTCTTTGCTGATACTTGGAAATTATAGAAAACATGATGTAGGTATAGCAGTTCCACCAAGTGTCCTCCCCCGCAAAAGTCTACATAAAAACTGGTTCTACTTACAGATTTTTTTTCCTCTAACAGTTACAGTTGGCTGAACTAATACCTTCTTTCTGCTAGCAGAAAACATGAGATGTATCTAACCTCTGCATTTAATAGTGATGTATGAGAAAAAAACAGGCTATATGCATCAGCACTATTTTTAAACACTAAGAGATATTCGTGTTAGGTCACTGATATGAATGTTTTCATTTGCAATACATTTGGGGGGTGTGTATGCTTTCATGTCGGCAGCTCAGGAATAATCACTGAAAGCAAAGGACTATTCTGAGCTACTTATATTAATATCAATGAATTTTGGAGGACTTTTATAACATTATGAAGTATCAAGCAGAGATTGGGATCATCACAACTATGTCAGGAAGAAGCATGGGCAAAAAAAAAAATCACACCCCTTGTTAACATGCAAAGTGCACGAGCATTTCATCCGAACTCACACACAGTATGCAGAGGACATTAATGTCTTGCTTTTTCTGACATAAGTTTGAAATGGTGTACTTGTCAAGGCAGGAGTCTCTTGATTCCTTTCACATCATGGAGAACTCATAGCAAGAGTAGAGTGGTAATGAGAATTGCATTTAAAATTAAGTGTCTGTTAGTATTAACAGAAGGTAGTATTTTATAAGGACCTTACAGTTTTCAGTCCTTTATATATTTGCTGGGGTTCTGTCCCCAATAGTTGTTGGCCTATTGGGAATTCATGGCTTAAATAATCTGTTGGGGAAGTGTAGACTTGTTGGACCCTAAACCTCTTGTTCAAGATGGGATAGGCAAAAATGCTTACAACTATGTATGCAGTTAGTCTACTTGGAATTAGAGTATTTTTCAGAGGAACGGTCATACTTGTGCTCTTGATCAGTTGTGTGTGTGATGGCCTTTTTACACACAGGCACTTGAACTGGACACAGGTACAAAGATGAATAATGCACATGCAAAGGTTAAAGGTGCGTTGAAGGTTAATTTGACATCATCTTTAAATAAAGTTTGGTTCTTGGTTTGGTTTTATACAGAGATGTAATCTTAAAGAATTATCTCTCTTCCTCCTCTTTCCTCCTGTACCAAAAAATGTTGATCAAAACATCTTAAGGATTTGGGGTTTTTTTTCCTAGTAAACTGGAAAAAAAAATGGTACTAAGCTGTATGTTCAGTTCATGTCCCAGTATGAAAAAAAAAAAAAAAAATACAGCTTCTTGACATTTTGAAATTTTAAAATTAAGATAGCTAATGAAATGCATACATCGAGTACTTGTGTAAGTACTGTAAAGCAGTAACTGTTCTAAAAATATCATTATTCTTGTGGTACAGTTCCCTAAGTCAGCAGCTATTTTCCCCCTTAAAATTAGGGAAGCCACAGTTATTTTCCACAAGACATATGCCAGCTAAAGTGATAACATACCAGAGAAACCTAATTGATGCCAGTGACCATGAAAAGTTGTTTGCTTTCTTTAAAGGAGCTCATTATATGTTAAATTCAGCAGTATTGTGAATCACAAGCTGGTCAACAATGTAATCTGCTACCATTTCTAAACATGGCTTAAAAAATCATCTGAATTTCGGGCTGTTGACATCTGGAAGCTGTAGCTTTTGGAGAGCCACTGAATATTTTTACTGTTTGAGTGTCCAGCCCTCCAGGAACTTAACATCCACTTTTTCAGACTCTGGCTTTATTTCCTCTTGCGCACGTTTTTGTTTGGTTGTTGTTGTTTGGTTTTTTTTTTTCCTGGAGGGTTAATTGGACGGTGGCTTAAAAAATTTACCCCATGTTGTAAATGCTTTTAAAATAACAAAGAAAGAGAAGCATGGAAGAAAAAACACTCACTCTCCAACAAAAAAACCCAAAACCAAAGAAGCAAAAAAGAAACCAAAACACCACCACCTTAAAAACAAACAAAAAACCCCACCAAAAAAACCCCAAAACAAAAACAACAACAAAACCCCCTGTCCTTGATTATTGTGAAAGTATGTCCTGGATTTCTCACTCAAAGGCAAGATAATGGTTTAAAATATCTGGACAAGGATTCACTGAAATAGCCCAGATAAACACCAATATATATTCGCTTTTCTTTTTTATTATTATTATTATTTTAAAATTAATGTTTTGTTGATATAGTTTGTCATATATTCCTTTCCAGAGTAGAGAAGTTAACCACTGAAAATACATCACCTCGAGAGGCAAATAATATTTCAAACCATCGGGTGCTAATTAAGCCAGAGGCACAAAATAACCAGAGAAATAAAGAAGTGAACAAAAATGAAGAGAAGAAAGCTTTGGAAGCCGAAAAATATGGATTCCAGAAAGTTGGGCAAGATAAACCATTAACGAAAATTAACAGTGTAAAGTTAAATCCTTTGGGGTCTGAATACAGGACTTTACCCATAACCACAATTCAGGCTGGACACTTCAGACCAGTTCATTTAAATGGGTCAGAGAATAAAGCTGTTGGTGTTGTCCTGGCAGACGCTGGAGATGGAGGTCAGCACAATGCGGTGCAGTCACATATGGAGTCTGAACGAGTTATGCAGAGAACTAATTCAATGCTGCAGTTGGAACAATGGATTAAAATACAAAGAGGAAAAGGACAAGAAGAGGAAACAAGAGGGTAAGTACTATGTAATAATTCTTATTTTTTTTTCCTAGGCTTTCCCGCAAATAATACTTAGACTTGTATCTTGGTAGATTCTTTAGGTTTTGGTCTATATTACATACCTATATAATTCATTGTTCTCTGTAAGAAGTGCCTGGATGATTGTTCAGAACAGATTTATTAAAGCTTCTGTTTTATTAACATTTGATTATTTATTAAGGAAACTATATCAATAACTTAATAAAAATGGCCAGAAACCCTTTTGGGCTGTTAAATATTTGTTTATTTATCCTCACAGAGAGAAGGTGTCATCAATCATAATTCTTTTTCCTCTTAAAATCTGTTCTTGAAATTGCCCTGTCTTCTGCATTCTTGTTCACAAATTCTTCTAATAATATTTTTTAAAAATTATTCAAAAATCTTCCAGGGAGCTTTTAAACTTTAAACAAGCTTTAATTGGAGAGAGAGAGAGGAGCTTTACCTAAGAGTAAGTCCTTGAAATCTAAGTAACGTGATGCTTAAAGCTTCTCTTCTCATGAAATTAAACATCTCCCAGTTCTAATATTGAGTTCCAGTGCTTATTTATGAAGCTTTAAAATTATGTGTGAATGATTGACAATATTGAATCTTGTGCCGATAGCAATTTCTCTGTCTGACAGAAGTGTAGGGACATTGCTTCCAGGCTGGCTTACAGACAAGCAGCTCCAGCAGTAAAATATAAAAATTTTTAATATTACATTAGATAGGAAGTATGGAGAAGCTATCACAGGACGTATTTTGAAGACCTGTAAATTAGGGAGTTTGTGTATAGATGGATGCCAGAGTACAGCTTAAGATAGAACCAAGTTCAGAAAATGTGTTTTCTGCAAATTGTGAAATATGGGGGTTGCGGAGCTTTTAAGTTTTTGCAAAAACTTGAAAAATTTGCATTAGTTTGACTTACACTTGCCAAAATTGGTTGAAGATTTCCTCATTGCCTTTAGTCCCGCATTAAATATTATTAGGAATTGTTAATATGATGTTTCATGAAATACTCAACGTAAGCAGTTTGATCAAGTTTGAACTTGCAGTACAGACAGCGACTTGCACACTCCGAAATTTAGTTTATTATGCATGCTTGCGTAATGAGAACTGAGAAGGTTCTTCAATGCAATTAGATTTTTTTTTTAATTGGACTGTAAAACTTGCAACCAAACAGTAGAAATTTGAATAGCTGTGCCATTTTTCAATTGCAAACAAGTATAAAAACCCTAAAACTGATTTCATTGTGGGAATCAAATACAGGGAAGAACTGTAAACAATACGTTACTAATTAACAATATTTTATTCTTGTCTATAGAGAACACTTGTTGCTTAAATAAGGGTGGCATTGATAGCACAAAGGGTATGCTTTCAAATGCAGTTCTACATAAAAGTAGCAAACTGAAAAAAAATTGGCCTTGAGCTATCGTCTTTGCTTTGTGTGGAATTTCTAATGTATAGAGATATCTTTAGAATGTGATTTCATTTAAATTTGATTTTTGTTTAGATTGCTAGTTTTCTGGCTGGAGACAAAAATTTAAGCAGAACTGAAATTGGTGAATGAGAGTAGAAAGAAACTCCAGTTTAACTTAAAGCTTAAGGCTGAGGTGAGAGGCTAATAAGACTGTTTGTAGTAAGACCTGTTCAACTCATAACTTTAATTTTTGAGAAAAATAGTCTTCACTTAATGGGGAAAAGTTGCTGACTTTTAATAAAGATGCTTTCCATTGCATCGGTCTCTCTAATGTGTTAGAGAAATCATGGAGGACCAAACTGAGTATCTCTGGTATGTCAGACTGAAAAAAATTAGGACTTTAAGAATACTAATATGTTAACAAACAAGTTCAATTAAATAACTGTACATAAAATAGGAGCTGTTAGCTGTCCTCAATATGCAATGAAGAGGGTTCACTGTAAAATTATTAATTATTTAGAGGAACAGGCTGACAGTTTGCCTGAGAAATTAAGGAGAATGACAGCAATGTAGTTTTTAATTCTTAAAGCTGTTATCTGCCCTTTCCATGGATCTAGACATGCAGTTTGGCAAGAACCACATGAATAAAGATAACTGATGACTTGAGGAAGACAAACTTTTTTTTCAAACCAAAAATAAATGTTTTTCAATAAAATTTAAAACCATTCCACTTCAGTATCATTTTATTGAATTAATTTTGCACAAGTCAGTTACGAGTAAATATTTTCACCAAAAGTGGTTCACTTGAGCAGTCTTTGTCAAATGTGAAAAAATACAGAGGAGTTGCATGGTACTAAGTGAGGTTCTTTGCTGTGTTGTGGTTTGACCCCCGCCAGCAGCTAAGCCCCATGCAGCGGCTTGCTCACTGCCATGGCAGAACAGAGGAGAGAATCGGAAGGGTAAAAGTGAGAAAACTCACGGTTTGAGATAAAAACAGTTTAATAGGTAAAGCACAAGCTGCGCACACAAGCAAAGCGAAACAAGGAATTCATTCACCACTTCCCATGGGCAGGCAGGTGTTCAGCCTTCTCCAGGAAAGCAGGGCTCCATCACACGTAACAGTTACTTGGGAACACAAATGCCATCACTCCAAATGTGTCGTGTGTTCCCCTTCCTTCTCCTTCCCCCAGCTGCAATGAACTCTTCCCCTTGTCCCTACTCTGGCTTGGACTTATCCACAGACTGTAGTCCCTTAGGGGTGTGTCTGCTCCAAGTGGAGCCTTATGTATGAGCCACAGTCTCTCCAGGGGTACATCTGCTGCGACATAGACTTATGCACAGCCACAGTTGCTTCGAGGTGCACCTGTTCCAGCATGGCCTTGTCCATGGACCACAATGCCTTCAGAGGTGTAACTGCTCCAGCACGGCCTTGCCAACAGCAACAGTCCCTTCAGAAGTTTGAGGTGCTCCAGCATGACCTCATGCACAGCTACTGATGCTTCAGGGTGTACCTGCTGCAGCATGGACTTATCATTGGGCCACAATCCCTTCAGAGGCATACCTGCTGTGGCACAGATGTAGTCATGGCCACAGACGCTTTGAGATATGCCTGCTCCAGTGTGGACTTGTTCACGGCCACCGACGCTTTGGGGTGTCCTGCTCCCACGTGGACTCATCCACAGGTCACAGTCCCTTCGATTTGAGTTCGCACTTGAGTTCCGGCCTGTCCAGTACAGCAGTACCATCGCTGTTACCAGAATGTTCCCAGGCACAGCACAGTGAGATGATAAACAGTACAGCACTACAGCAAGCAGTGAAAGCAAAAGGCAGCCACTGATGACCACAAGACTGTACTATACAGTAAGGCAAGCAAGCCCCATGACAAGCACAGGAGCCTGCCAATTAATAGCTAAACAGCAATAACAGCTCTAAGTTTGATCTAGCACATTCTAATCAAATCTGTCGTTATCTTGGCACCCACACTGGGTGCCAAAAAGGACTGTCACGGTTTAACCCCAGCCGGCAGTTAAGCACCACGCAGCCATTTGCTCACTCCCTCCATGGTGGAATGGGGGAGAGATTGGAAGGGTAAAAGTGAGAATACTCGTGGGTTTGAGATAAAGCAGAAAAGGCCTTGGCTCTCTGTAAGCACCGCTCAGCGGTAACAAAAACATCTCTCTCTAACAAAAACAACCCTATGTTATCAAAATGCTGTTTCCAGCACAAATCCAAACCATAGCCCCTTACTAGCTACTGTGAGGAAAATTAACTCTATCCCAGCCAAAACCAGCACATGCTGCTAATCCAGGATGTGAACCTCTGTCTCCCCACCTTGCCTGTATAAGCCTTGCCCTAAGTAATAAATGCCTGCTCTGCAGCACTGGTTTTCAGTGTTCACTCTGCCATCCTTTGCTTGATTTGTACGTAGTTCTGTATTGTGGGCCAGCTGGTATTAGCATTCTTTAGGAAGAAGGACTAATTTGAGTTTTCAATCTGAGGGTATTCATAACATTGCAGAACTGAGCCCCTAAAGCTTTAGGAGCAAAGTCACTTTCCCAAATAGTCCAGAACCCTTGGACACCAGAACCGTTATTGCTACCCAATAGTAGTCCTAGAGACAACCTCTAAGGGTCTCTACACAGAGTCTATAAATTCCTGTGGGAGCCTTTTTTTTTTATATGGGAACTTCTGTAGGGAGCTATTTATCATGACAGTTGCAGAAATATTTTGCAGCCTCACAGTGTGTATGTCTGCTTGACTGGCTGGCCCAGGTTTCCCCCTTGTGTGCAAGGCAGCTGTATATGCTGCACTACTGTCTAGAGTTGGGTTGGTTTGGATTTGACTAGAATGACGTTTTTGCAAGTATCAACAGGACATTTGATAAAATCAAAACAGATTCACCAATGATGTAAAACAAAGCTTAATATTGAGGCGGTTTTCATGGTTTACCAATAGAAAATGAATATTCCAGAATATAAGTAATTGCATGTAGACTTTAAATTGCTATCTTTACATAGTAAGAACTTCAGACAGCTTGTCTGCAAGTTGTCTGGGATATTTAAAGGAACCAATAGGATTACACTACCCATTTAAGTAATGAAATGGGGAGAGGATCTTCAGTGAGTGAGGTTTATCTAGCTACCGGATACCTTAATGAAAATATCAGCCTTCACCATACCTGTTTGTGAATAGCTAAAATAATGTTTTTAAACTTAGAAATTGAACCCAAAAGTGTCTTGGTTGTTTGTTTTTTAAATATGGAGATGGAGAAAAGCCCTTATCATTAATGGTATGTTACGTGAAGAAATTTAGAGGTATTTAAGCAGGTTTTGCAGCAAAAAAATAGGATTTAGAATCCATCTTCCTTTTTTATAATTTTTTTGCAAGAATGTAAAGCTCTCCAATCTGCAAAATGGGGATAATACTTCACTAATTCTTGGAAAGCTTCAGAAACTGTAACAGATTTTGTATGTAAAGCTCATTATAGCAGTTTTCATATCCAAAATGTTACAGGTGATCATAAATACTCAGCTTAACTTTTTTACAGTGAAAAGTAGGTTTTACCATCATCAATTTCCTTGATAGTTATTCCATAAGGATCTAACATGCATAGTACTGGCTTACCTTGCCATTTGCCCTACATCATTTCTTTAACTTTTTTGTGGCACTGAAGTCGTTCAATACCATCTTCAGATTCTGGTCCCTCTTGATGGCAGGGATTTTAGTTTCAATTAGTCTGAGGTGTAGCTAGAAGAAGCTGCTGCCCTCTGATGGCTGAATCATGTCCAATTTGAGATCAGTTCTGTTGTCTCTGGGCAAGCATCTATCATGGATGTGATCAGTAGCAAAAGGCTTTAAGAGGTGCTCATCTGAATTTTAGATGAGGGTTGAATGAATCAATGTTTATGACCTAGCTTTTGTCCTCTGAAAAAAACAAGAAATGCTTTGTCATACTTAGGCATGCATCGATACTCCATATGGAAAATTTTGCATTTCAACTAATGCTGAAAGTTGCTAAATGACTGTAGCACTCTAGAATTTTAATGTGGCAACAAATTAAAGAATAAGCCTTTGAATTCATATCCGAGTTGAAAAGCAATAAAATATTATTATCAAACAAAGAAATATTTTGCTGTTTGTTTCGCTTGAATAGCTGATACAGAATGGCTTGTCATTGACAATTGCAAAATACAACTTCATTAGACAATTCTTGCTGTTTTTCCTTGGTCTGCTGTTAAATCGTATTTTTTTTATGTCCATAGTAATTGCTTGAGATTTTTTTTGGGAAACAACAGGAGATTTTTTCACTTTTGAAAAAGAGAACATTTAAAATGGGCTCATATGGAAACAGTATAGAACTTCAAAGCTTTCAAAACTTTGACCTATCCAGTGTATAGACAAGTTACAAGATCTGATCTAAACCTGACAGTACTAGACTGTTAACTGGTAAAAAAATGAACTGTAGATTATATAATCAAGCAGCTAATGAGGGATAGGATCCCTTTTCAGCTGCTATGGTGCATTCAGTCAGTACAGTTGATCTTTAATTGTCTTGATTTTCTTGCGTGTTTTTAAAATGGCACTTGTAGTATTAAAAAAAAAAGTTAGCTAGATAAACCTGACCAATATTAAAAAACTTTATATTGCCATAATATTAATGCTGTCCACTAATAAAAAGAAAATTTGTGTTTCAGCATAATCTCCTATCAGACATTACCAAGAAACATGCCAAGCCATCGACCTCAAGGTCTACCTCGGTACCCGGAAGGCTACAGAACACTGCCAAGAAACAGCAAAGCACGGCCAGAGAGCCTCTGCAGCGTAACGCCATCAGCTTACGATAGAGCCATAGGACCAGTAACAGCCGAAGAAAAACGGAGGTCGATGCGGGATGACACAATGTGGCAGCTCTATGAATGGCAGCAACGTCAGTTTTACAATAAGCAAACGACTCTTACTAGACACAGTACTTTAAGTAGCCCGAAAACTATGATTAACATTTCTGATCAGACGATGCATTCAATTCCCACCTCACCTTCTCATGGTTCAATTGCTGGTTTCCAAGGATATTCCCCACAGCGGACTTACAGATCGGAAGTGTCTTCACCAGTGCAAAGGGGAGATGTAACTATTGATCGCAGACACAGGACACATCATACCAAGGTAAAATACTTTAATAGTTAAAAATCTCATTTACAAGGATTTTTAGTAGAAGCATACCGTTACTGTAAAACTCACCTTGCACTGTAGTATATTTTATTATAATGAAGATGAAATTACATCAAGTTTTCATGGAGAAAGATTTGATTTTAAAAAGCATATAAAAACCTAAAGATTGTAAAAAGGTATTTTTCTAATCCACTAGGTGAATATTTCTGTCCATGGTATTAGGTTTCTCTAAAGGAAAGAAAAGGAGTCAATAGGCAAATTATTCAGAGTCGTTGGTTGTATGTACAGACATCTTTCTCCCTTCTAGCTTTTTTAGCTGGAACTCTAAGAGGATTGAAAATCCCCGATTTCCTTCCACATGCTGTTTTCTGTTCTTCAGCCACAAGTTTGGCTGCCTTGAGTTCCAGCAGAAAACAGAGTGTAGTAATTTTTTTTTTTTATACCTTTGAGTTATTAGGGAGATCACTAGAGAAGATCACAGTCTATTTGCACGCAACCTTAGTGCCTGACTAGCGTAACTTTGGTTGTCCTCATCAATGAGTGAGACACACAATTACCTGGGTGCCGTATGTGGCTCTGCTATATCCATCATGCTTGTGGTATGCCTAATTTTTTAATAGTTTGGACATTACATTTAAAAAAAAAAAAATCTTTAAGTTGAATGTGAAACTAGAGTTTTTCTAAAATGCTCCTGAAACTTTTTGCTAAATCTTTATCTCAGGTGTCTTTATGTCTCTTGATGCAGGAAAAAAAATCTTAACTGCATCTTAAAGCAGTTTAAACATCTTACAGTTGTTTACTAAGTCTTCTTTTTTGAAAGTTCTTAGGTGCTTATCAACAAAGGGATCATTTTGTTTTGACGTCCTTTGTCTCAGCTGCACTGGAAATACAGTAATCAGTGCTGCTCACAAATCAGGGAAATGCCACTAGGGTCAGTGCTGCAGAGCATGTGCTTACTTGTCCTTTCCACCATGTTTTGCTTTCTCATATTTTTTTCCTTGTGGAACATTTTATGCTAGTATTTAATTTCATATTTAGCATCTTTTAGACAAGATTCTTATTTACCTTCAGTTTTTCATGCTATTTGGTTTGTGGTTTTTTAGTTACACAACTAGCTTTTTCCATTAACTTAGAAACACAAACCTGTTTTTAAGAGATGCATAATCTGAAATCAATTTAAGATTTAAACTCCATCTATACAGAGCTCTTAGGTTTTTAAACAGCTTTCAGCGATGGGTGAAAAACTAAAATTGTTGCTGTTTACATGGGCTATGATTAGGGCAACAGCTGCGAGGGAGGACTGTTAATTGAACGATGAAAGCTGGGTTATGTCTGGAAGTTAGAGGTTGGCTACTTGAGTGTCCTAGATGGTAGATCAGCAGGGAGCATGACTGGCTAAGGCTGGCACAAATCATAGAAAATTTGACATGAGCATGAAGTTGGCGTGACTTTTTCTTTAGCATTTTATAGTTGTTGAGTCTTTAGATAACAATGGATCATACTGTGCTATTTTGTTTTTGTACAGCATGTCTTTGTGCCCGACAGAAGGTCAATGCCAGCAGGTCTGAGTTTACAGCCTGTTACTCCTCAGAGCCTCCAAGGCAAAACAGTGAGTTGGATTTTTATTTGGTACATGAGTTTTTTCTGAAGAATAATTCTTTAAGTATGAACAGTTTTATTCTATTCAAAGCTTGCATTTATTGTAGCCTTTATTTTAATTATTAGGGATTTTTAAAGCAAATAAAGTAGCACTCTGTGGTTACATTGAATTCTGAGAATATTGTGTAGCCACTGACTCCAGATTTTCTTTGAGAAATACAGATTTATTTTTTTTAATCATCTTTGATACATTACAGAAATTTGTGGGAGAGGGTAGAATAAATCACAGAACACTTATTTCTCCATTAAGTATTTAGAAAATCCTAGACATAATGTTTACCTTTTTTGGAAAGCTTAAAGATACTAAAACTGCATTTGGTAAAATGGTGTTCTTTCTGACATCTCCCATTTTTCTGTGATAGAATTGAAACTCTCATTGAAGGTATTTCATCAAAGTAATATTGGGGAATACTGTCCACCTTCCTAATTGAAACATGACTGTTAGCCAAAAGCCAAGAAATTGTCCTAAATTTACTACATTTATTTACGAGTTTTTGTCACCTTTCCATAATCTTTCTCTGTCCGCCTGAAATTACTGTTTGAGACAGTTACGAATGGAGAACACAGATTTTGAATCATACTGTGGGCAACAGCTCCCCGGTCAATCCTTCCACTGCCTTCACCCCTGTTTCTTGCACTTCCCAGCCTGAATCCCTGGCACCTTCAGCAACTTAGGGGTTGGCTTGTGGCAGCTGGCGCCTTCTCTCTGCGCCTTGTCTAGACGTTTCTTTGGGTTCATGGCCCCATCAGCTCTCCTGGGCTCTGCTGCTGGAGCTGGGCCGATGAGTGGGGTAGGGGGCAAGGAGATCCAAGCTTCTGCCTGTAGAAACCAGAAGTTCTGCCCACAGCACAATCGTTGCAGGGGCCAGAGGAGGAAACCTGTAGGTAGCTCTTTAAACAAAATTCTGTGTTGCAGTTGTTGCAAGAGTCCTGAGAGCTGTATCAAAAGCAGCAAAAATGTTTGAAACCTTATGAATGTGTAGAGAGGAGTAGGAATTGCTGTTTGATGGGCTCCTCTATGGAAAAAAAGTTTGCAAACATTGGATTTGAGTACCTTTAATTATTTTATTCCTAATGCACTAAAATTAGGCTTTGCAGAACATCCCAAGAAAAGTTTTGATCTTGAAAAAGTGATTCACTGTGCCTTTTGTTTGAAGATGCTACTTTCAATTCTCTCATTTCTAAAAATACGTTTTCTTGTGCTGTGAAATGATGTTAATTTTCAGACTGAAAGCATTGTTACTGATTTCTGGAGAGAACTTAAAAATGTCTTGTATAGCAGTCTAGATTCTTACACTTACTTTCTGAAATTAAGTATTTTAAATCCAGGTATTGAAAGAGTACTATAAGAGGAAGATTGGCCATTAGACAATTTGGCTTTGGTGGTGTTTTTCCCTCAGAGCAAATGGTTTTGACAACTGAAGCTGTGTGGAAATCCCTTGCTCCCTCTCGTGGGCTACTTTGGTACGAGCTCACAACGGTGCCAGTGCCATGCTTATTCTCAGGGATTTTTCTTCTTTATTCTAAGAAATGGGTATTTGTTTTTCAGTAATTTCATATTTGGTTCTCTGGAGCTTTTTTTCTTTACTACTTTGCTTTGGGGACATTCTATGACTGTGGGAGAGAGCAAGCAGGGGTTTAGGGGTTTTCTGTGTTTGAGTTTGGGGGTTTTTTTAACTCAGAACTTGTGAGAAAATTGAAATGCTGGATGAATACTTAACCTCTTATAAGATTGACTTCTGGAGAAGTGTAAGAAACAGAAGCAAACAGGAACATAACAAAAATACTTGTCATGTTAAGTATTTTGTTTTCTTTGAAGTATTGCTAATAGAAGTGGTTCCCAGGAATGGTTTAGGTAGAATTTCCCAAACTGACCCAAATTGATCTGTGTGGAATTACCTGACAAATACTCGTTTGAGTGTGACTGTACTTCCATTATATATAATCTTGGGTTTTAAATATTGTTCTTCATCCCTTCCTAAGGCTGTATTGTACACCTATAAAAGTAAAGCAATAAATTAACTGGTAGCCTCAGACCTGTGGAAGGTGGGACAGAAGATTATTTTTGTCATACTTGTGCAGTTTTATTTTGTGCAAGATGATTGTTTCTGATGTAGTTCAGTTATCATGGTGTTTTCATTTACTCTGAATTTTGTGTGCTTTTGAACCCAAAAAACCACTCTGTGTGCTTTTGAAGAATTATTTTAGAAACTAAATTTTCTTGAGGGAATTTTTTTGATTCTTTCACCAAGCTGAAATGGCTATCCATGTACAGATAATGATATCCTGAGGGCTGGAATTATCTCCCCCTTCACTTCAGTCAATATCATCAATTTGATAGGCATTTCAGAAAAAGTTTGGGGGCTGTAGACTTTCTCCTGCAATATCCTTACTTTTTTTTTTTTTTGTCCTTTGTACAGAATGTTACAATATTATAGCTGTTTGAGTAGTTAAAACTTAACCCTTCATTACATATTTGAAAGTGGTCAATTTGGGAAAAATGGTGTATCTTTTGTTGTATCACTATAGAAAGTTTTTGTAAGAAAGATACTAAGAACCCTTATTTTAATTAAGTGTTGTTCAGGATACCAATTAACCTTTTTTCTACTCTTTGGCTTCTTACACTGCACTCCTGCAGCCAGAGGAGCTCACGCTGCTGCTAATAAAGCTGAGACGGCAGCAAGCTGAACTGAGTAGTATCCGGGAACACACACTAGCACAGCTCATGCAACTAAAACTTGAGGCCAGCAGCCCAAAGGTCAGCTATAAAGCAATGTGTGTCATGTACCATTCTCACTAACTTATAGTCATTCATTAATCAAATTTTACATTGTACCATTAGTGCACAATTCTCTGACTACTATGGGAGTAGAATAGAGTAACATTGGTTCTTTGTGTGCGTGATGTTCTGCTATTAACCCTTTGAGGCTTTACTCATAGCTTTTTGATATTACGTGAGTCAAAATTACATAGGAATATTTTAAAATATATTGTAGCTAAGTTTAAAATTGAAGGGTTTTAACCTGTTGGTATTATAAACAAAATTAGTAGTGGTAGATCATGAGATTAATTTATTGTTTATACTGCCTCATATCAGATACAATCTTATTTGTAATCTGTGTACGAAAATCAGGACATGTTTAAAACACAGATTTATCAAAGGGTTTATAGTTGTCTGTATAGTAGACATTTACATGACCTCACTGTATTTTATATGTAAAACCAAAATGTAATGTAATAGTTCGTAGTCTGATTCGTGGCAAACTTTCATCACTTCTTTTTTGGGATCAAAACTTGTTAACAGTTCACCAAAAAAAAAAAGGAGATAAAAGCAGCGTTATATTTCTATGTAACACAAAGATTGCTGTCTAGTTTACATCTTTTAAAGCTCTTTTCATGCATTCTGCACCTTCTGTCCCTTTTTCCTCCTGACTGCTGCCTGCTAGAATGAGATTCTTTCACATCATCTTCAAAGGAATGCCATATATTTGGATCATCAGGTGGGATTTGCAATTTTCTTGTGTGTTTAAATTTCGTAATGGTTTTTGCCTGCTCCTATCAAGCTGGAAATATTTGGGGAGAAGGGTTTTCAGGGCTTTTTATGAAGTTGGATATTTAATACATGCCCTTTTTAAGTACCACAGAATATCTTAATCAATATAAATTTGACATGTAATGGAAAAAAATCCCTCAATTTAAAATTTGTCAGAATATAGTAGCCACTGAACAATTAATTTTTCTATTCTTCGTTTCCTTCTTACAGTAACACTAACTGTAGCATTTTATCATTTTTAACCAAAGTCATAATATATTGTCCAAGTGCATATGACACACGTGTATTTTATAGAAAATTAGTACTTCTGATAATTTTAGTTTGCTGAATTAAGAAGAGTTAGATGTTTCTACAGGGCATTCAATTAAAGGGAAGTCAAACATGAAAAAATGTTTTAAACAAGTCCTAGCATGGCTCATTACTTGTTCTCCTTTTACTCAGTTATTTCTTGAAGATTTATATAAGAAGATTTCCCTTCTTTACAATTTCTGATAACTTATGGAGTTGAGGGTACAATTCTGTCTTCACTAACATAATTGATTGCCAAGTGAAAAATTGTGATATCACATACCTCTTTTTATGGCTTTGTTGCATGATCAGATGGGACTTCTGTACAAGTTGTGCATAAGAAGTTTTTAAATGGGAAATTTTTGCTAGCACTTATAAAGGCAGTCATAAGTGCTTAGAAAAAATTTAAGCAGCTAGGTGTCTGTTTAGTTAAAAATATAAAAATCGCTACAGCTTTTCTTCTTTTTCTAATATTCTTTCTTCTAATGAAATTTTTCAGCCTTACACTTAAACCAACTGTTCTTAGAACAGTCCTACAGGTTCCTGTAATAGGATTTCAGTAGGTTATTAAAAACCACACATGCGCACAGACACACACGTGTGCTTGATTCACCCAGTGATTTTATTTTCCTATTATCTCTTAGAAACAAGGTGTGAATTGTGACCAATTCAGTTAGATGGCAATGCATTTCTAAACATCTCTGTCTCGTCTTAAGGGGCTGCAGGAAGTCCAAAACAGTAGGGAAAAACTGCTTGCTAAATTAGATCAAAATATTTCATCCAACTCAAATATTTCCAGTTCATAATGTTTTGGAATAAGGGAATAATTCTGTCTTCATCAGTGTAATTCATTGCCAAGAAAGGACAACTGTCCTTATGTGTAAAACCACATACTATGCTGTTGCTTGATTAGCCAAGCTTGTCAGTATAATAGACAGGATTAAATGGAGAGAATTGCCCATGTATAACATGCAAAGTGCTAAAAAGGATTTTCTTTTTACTTGCATCAGATAAAATTTAGAAATGTGATGTGATAAACATTAATTTGGGGAAGTGTCTAAATCTTTTAAATGTACCATAATTACCCCTACCACAGATGCAAGAAATCACTGCACATCTTACCGTAAGAAATCATGATCAAGTTTAAAATATATTACCTTAATCACAAAATCATGGAAGAGCAGGTTGGAATACTTGTCCCAGTTTCTGATAATTTTTTCTGTTGTGGTTTTTTTTTCCCCCCCTTGTTTTAATATAATACTGCCACCTACCTGTACAAAATAAATCCCCCTGAGAGTCTTTTTGCTTTGAGTGCCATTGCTTCTTGGGGTGGTATCTCATTTATATCTTTTTGTTACTTTGTCCATTATCACTTTTCCTTTATGTTGGGAAGAAGAAAAAAAAATTCAAAGTTTCTTTTAGTCTAATTGAGGCCTTTGCTCCTCATTATCCACATCTGTAACCAGCTTGCATAATCACTTGCCCTCTTTGAATTTTAAATGTCCCATGTACTTTAACTATGAATGGAAATACCTAATTTATCTCTGAAAATAGTGTTAAAACCTGCTTTGCCTAGAGCATGCAGTGGAACTCCAATCCTGTTAACTTCTAGTCTCACCTTTTTGGTCACAAAGAATTCAGTACCGTACATAATAATTTGTAAGTTGGTACTGAGGTTGCACTGGTGAATTTTCAAGCAGACTAAAATGCATGTGTAGGGAGAGTAACTTTTATGCTGTTCCAGTACATTGTTGTCTGCTGGTGAGGTGGCTTTTCTTATCAAGGCTCAAGAATATCCCATAGCCTTTTTTAAGTCATGCTATTTTCTCATACTGCTGTTTCCTTTCGAGATGCTTAGAAATTCTTATGTTACGCTTTTTGACGTTTTCACATTATGCTTTCAGAATTTTTGTTGTTGTTGTTGGAGTTCACAGATAGAGGAAAAAAAGATTGAAGAGACTGACGTACATATATACAGCCATAGGATTTCTTTGATGTCTTGTGGCCAAACGAATGATTGTCAGGCATCCTTCTTTTTTTCAAGTGAGGTTGTGAACCACTCTGCTGGCTCAAGGTTCATAGAGAGGCAGGAGAGACTCATTTGCCTTTTAAGTAGTAGTTCTTTGACACAGCTAGCAACCGCTAGGCAATGATGATGATTTGTTTGCCAAGGTGGGACATGTTATGAGGGCACATACAGTCTCAGTCTTCTGCATTATCAAATTTTAAGGGATCACTTATTGTGTATTACTAAATCCAAGCCAACAGTCTCCTTAATGTATTTGTACCCAGCAATTACAATAATAGTATTGAAAAGTTGGAACATAGTTGTGGGGTTTTTTTTCAAATAAAAGCTAGACACCGTTCTTTTTTCTCCTTTGTAAATAAAGCCATGGCAGGAGATCCCAGTTGAATCTTTCTGTTACTACGGAGAATTCCAGCAAACCAGTCTTTGAGTACGCTTCTTAATTTTATGTTGATAGTAACACCTCTCTTTGGCTGAAAAATTATTTTCTACTGAGCTCAAGCCATCTATGTAAAACTCTCCATACATATTGTCATATTGATCTCAGCATATCCCAGGCTGATTTGTCACAGTAGAAGCTCTACTAAATTTCATTTAGTCTTTTTTGTTTGGTTTTTTCTGGTTTTTGAAAAGGTTATTTTGGTGAATAGTTTAGGTGTTAAGTTGTCCGTATACTTCTGCTGGTACTTTCATTTTTATTTCTTTCAGTTTTCAAAGGGTGCATAAAAATAAACAGAACTTGAACAAGAAGTTGTCAAATAAAGGAATGAAGGTCCTACAGCCAATATCCATACTGTCGTGGTGTTTTGCTTCTGTTCTCTTCACCACGCTCTCTCCGGGATGCTGAAGGTGGTTCTAGGAAAAGGTAGTAAATTAAAGGAGGCTGGAATAGTACAAAGCGATTTGAGTAGAGCTGACAGATATCCTTTATTATATCTGAAATCTTGTGTTTCAGCCTAAAATTCTGTGCTATTTAGCAACATACAGGGTACTACTTTTGTATTTTTCAGGTTGTCTGGAAAAGGTAGAGTGAGCTGACCCAGCCACCACTGTTGTTCTTTATGCTGCTGCTTTTTCCCCTTTCCCCCCACCAAGAGGAAGAAGGGGAGGCTCAAGGACAGGGGCTCTGTAGGGTGAAAAAAGTCTGTGCTGGAGGCAGCATTGCTGTAAAAAGAAGGCAGGAAGGAAAAGGGCTTTTTCCTTCTGGGGTTGGTTTTTTTTGGACAGAAGATTAAAGAGCAGAGGAAAGGTGGGAGAAAAGCTTGGTCACCTCCTAGTGCCACTGCTTTTACCTTCAGGAAGCTTGAGATGAAATGGATACAACTGCCAGTCAGAGCTCAGTCTTTTGTCACCCATGACATATGGTCTTATCTCATGAGTGAGGGCAGCTGACCTGGTAGGGAGCCGCTGTTCCAGCTGATGGCTGCCACCAGAATGGCATATACTGAAATGCCATCTGCGTGGGGTGTTATCAAACAGGGAACAGAATTTACGAAAAGGAAGGAGAAAAATTGTCGATAGCTTGACTTTACAGTTTAAAACACAAAATACCCACTCAGATGCTCGCTCATAAATAATGTAGCTGTTCGTATAGATCTTATGTCAAGGAGGTTTTGTTTCATTGTTTCCAACTGGAAAATGCTTTTATATATTGCATCAGTATAGATAAAAGCAAAGATGAAGCATCACTTCTGGGGAGAGTTATTTTCTAGAAATAAAAAGTGATAAAGGCAAGACTGCTGGATTTTATTTGGTTTTACCACTGTGTGGCATCAGGCAGTTCACACTTCAGTTTGCTTATGAAAAATCTTAATTCCAAGTTTTGTGACGTCTTTAATTGGAGAGACTGTGTGAGTATAACACTATTAGTATTATACATAGGATCTAAAAGGTGTTCTTTATTGTACACAAATAATATTTTTTTTCTGACTGAGAGACAAACAAGGCTTGTTTCTGTTATGAACAAGCAAATTATTTTTCCTTGAGCTATTTATTCAATGTGAATAGTGTCCGACTTCGTTTTAGGAGTAGCCTCGTGATAATACTTTAAGAACACAAAATCGGTATCCTCTTCACCTTTTAGAGCATGGGACTTGCCATTGTGTCCTGCATAACGGGTTTACTTTGCCAGTTCTTCAGTACCCATTGCCTTGTGTGTGTGCTAGCTTTAGTTAGCAGAAGGTTTGTGACACATACATACTCCCTCAAGAACTTCTCAATAGCTAAATGTCAGGTTTTTTTGCAAACATTATTTCCTAAAGGGGAAAAAAAGCTTGCTATATTTGACTGTTACAAAGACTCCTTGGTTGGCATTACTTTACCAATTATCTAGGTTTTGATCTTTTTTCCATAAGGGCTTAGGGAACTGGAGCTTTTCTGGAAATAACTGGCCTTTGCAAACAGTGTTAGAAAAGCGTGGTTAAGCACCAGTGGTAGTAAAATATTGGAAGAAGTCCTATAAATCAAAGTTGCAGCTGGCTGGAGGACAAAACATTACTTCAGATCATCTTTTGAGTAAATCCACTTTGCTTCTTTTCTAATCTGGATGAAAACGATCTTTGAACAGTTCCACAGAAATCAATTCCAGCGTTGTCTGTTATGAATCAGAAAGGTAAAATTTGAAATATTGTAAAAAAGAATTAGCCAAACAGCCTGAAGTTGTTGAAATCCTCCTAATTACAGTGCATCCAAACCAGTGTGCTCCTAATAAAATCTTTCAACCTCAGAGGAAATTTTCTTTTACAAATATTTCAGTTGGCTGTAGTTTGATTGCTTGGCTTTGGACCTTGTTGTTGATATTACTATTGAGATATCTTTTGGTATCACCCAGTGCACCCACTCTCAGGACAAAATTTTAGCATAAAGGGAGAACAACTTCTTGTGTCAGTTCTAGTTTTCTGTTTATGTACGCTATAGATGATGGCGCAAGTGGGAGGGATTGCTTGTTTGGGGGTTTTTTCCTGCCTTGAACAAACAGAGCATCATAAACTTGCCTTCATAAGATAAGGTGCTCTTTATTGGGTGATTAACTTAGCTGATCAGACTTTACTATGTATAAAAAACAACAACAACAACAAAAAGGTCCTCTATAACAAGAAAAATGTTTTTCCCAAAAGGAGAAAAAAAAAATACTTCTCCAAACATACAAGTTAGATTTTTTTTTTTCCCCCTAAATAATTAGGGGCAAGAAATTCCACAAGGCATCAAAAACTCAAGCTTTCTGTTGCATTTCAATCTGTGAAACAAAACCTTGCCATGCGAATTCATGGTGAGTGCTTATATATACATAAAGACAGAGTGAAAGATGATAAATATTCATACACGCACTTCCTTCCTGTGTAACCCTGCTTGAAAACAGGTATTGCTGAAGAGGTCCTGAAGTTTCCAGCAAAAATATGAGGGGGCTTGTGCATTAAGTGACTTTGCAGTTTCTTTTTGAGAGGAAAACTATCTGTTTTCCTAATTTTTCCCTTACTGTCAGGAAAGTCTCTTTTTTAAAATCAAAAATCCCAAACTATTGTCTCTGTTGCATACTTTTCTGAAATCCTAAATGTATGCAATTTTACTGTAATAATCAAAGTATGTGGTTACGACATTTGCACACATATCAATAAATACTAATTGTTATTGAAAATGTATGACCGGTTCCAAAATAGTCAAAGTTCCTAAGTATATAAATCAGTGCAGTATATAAAGGCATTTTGCGATACATGAACGTAAGTCTGAACATCAATATTCAGAGTCTGGGAATGTTTATATCTTTTTAATGTACATTGAGTTACTATATCTGTGATTTTAAAGGTTTTCTGATAAAGGTTTGAGTGTTCCTATTGCATAACCCAGTAATACTTTTCATTTCAATATCGTGCAAAGGCGGGCTTATTTTAAGCATTTTTATTTTTTTTAAAAGGGAGAGTGTTGGTCAATAAATATTGGATTGGTTTTGAGCATTTATGTGTTTTTGCTACGTTTATTTGCTATTATTAAACTTTTCAGATGTTGATATTACTGAATGATGGAATATGTAAAAAGCATGGGATAAAATGTAATCTACTGCATTATTAGAAAAAATTAAAGTAGAGGCTATATTTTACAGTGTCGTCTTTCAAATCTAGCCATGCTGTAAACTGATGTTTGCTGTATGCTCCTCCTGATTTGAAATAGATGAAAGAGAATGAACCTTTAATCACCATGGTTCACACTATGATTGAGAACTCGGCGCTAAGACCACAACTGTACCAGCAAGTAAGGTCTTGGATAGTGAATGAAATTGCTTTATCATCTGCGAAAATTTTCCTTAGTGACAGTTTTGGTTGTTCCTTGGATTTATTCATAACATTGGTGTTTCTCTTATTTGCTTTGGAAAACCACAAGTCATCCATGCTTTATAAAATGCTGCAATATCGTTAGCATGGCTTTTGCTGCGTTTTTGTTGTTAAGTATTAAATGTACCCTTTTGAATAACTTTTTCTGTCTAGATGATTTAATTAGTTGATGTTTTATGCAGGTGCCCCGTATATTCATGAAACTTCCAATAAGCTTCCAACATTTGTCTTAGCATGATTCTCTGCAATTAGTGTTCAAAGGTGCTTCTTTCTTTTGACCCACTACAAAAGCATGTGAGTGGTGTTTACCTGGTCATTTCTGGCAATTTTGTTTTGTTCTAGGAAGTGGATTTACAAGTTTTTGTTTGCACCTACCAAGCCTTTAGCCACTGAAGAAAGGAAAGATCAAAATTACTTTGATCTGGGTCTGTTCATAAAGTCACAGCAGACTTAACCGTGCACACTTACAGAGTATCTAGTGATGGTTGTAAATGGTAAGATGGAAGAAGAATCAGAAATGTGAATGGAAATATTGTCTGTGAGTTGAGACCTGCATTAACTTATGAGCATGGCCAATACGTATCTGTTGGCACTGCAGTGTCTTAGGGATGCTGGGGCTGAACTGAAGAGCTCCTGTCACATCAGAGAATGTTTAAGAGGTTTCTAGTTTCAACTGCAACAAAGATGTTATTCTCACTTAAATGACTATGGTATTTTGCAGCAGATGAGGTGTGCAATTCTGGCTGCCAGTCAGAAGGGAGTATCTGTCCAGTTGCCTTACACTTGCATTTGTGCCCTTGTGAATGACGTATAAGGGTTTCATAGTTTGAAGAAAAGGAGACATTCTGCCATGTAAAACAGTCATTTATTAGTGATTAATGCTTTGCCGTGTTTCTAAAAAATACTGTACCTTAATTTCATGTTTCCTTTTTTTGGAAGTCAGGTCCACATTGTAAATTTGCTTGTGATCAAGAAAAGTTGCAAGAAAAATCTCAGCTTTCCAAAGGAGGTTGGGTTGTGAGTGACTTTGATTTCAGTATTATCCTGTTTGTGCTCCTGTGTGCAAAATAGGAGCTTTAACATGGAACCTGAAGGAACTATTTCTGAGAGAAATGGGAAGAGTAAGGTGCCCTCAAGCCCTAAATGAAATTGGGTTTTGTTGTCTTGTTTTAAAGGAGCCTAGCTGTTATGATTTTTTTAAAGCAAATCAGTTTTCTGGAACAGAGTAAGACAAATAAGTCAACATATGTATAATGAACAGAGGTGCTTTGGATGTGTCAGAGTAAATTAGCTCAGCTTCTAATATTAATACCGACACATCTGAGGTATAGCTGTGCCTGGGCTAGCTGTCCCACTTGTTTAGGGATACCAATAAATTTCAGCGTGCTGCCTTGATGAAGCTATGCTGTCAGCTAAGGTATCGCTGCACAGCACTGCCTTCACCTTATAGACATACCCGCTCCGTCATATTTGACACTGAATAAGCACCGTTTGTGACATTCTTGTCAAAGAAACAGTGAATCTAACAGGTCATGAAGATTGAATCACCTTTTGTCGCTAGGGATGTGGTCTCTTCAGGTCAGAGTGTTTGTGACGTTGGCAGGCTTGTGCAGAAGCAGCCATGTATTGCATAAACTGTAGGATAGCAAGACCTTCTGCTTTCACGGGTGAAGTTTCCTATATGAAATACTGCATTAATTGACTTCCAGAAAAGGATAAAAATACATTCAAAATTTCACTGCCTAAGTAGTCTTCTGACCTTTCGTAATGCAAAACTAACCTGTTTAAAATTCTGGCAACTTATTTAAAATTTGCACAACACAGAATTTTTTATTCAAATAAAATAAGTTGGATTTACCAGTCATCTTTCCCACTGCAGTTTTAAAGAAATGTAAACAATTGGCAGAAGCCTCTGTGTAAGCAACTGCAACCTGTTTTGTTGTCAAGATGATAAACTAGTTTCTGATGACCGTAACCATTCCTACGGACAGAGGAAAGGATCTTTCTTTGCTTCTGTTTATTCAGTTCAGTTTTACGACTGAGCTCATTTAGAGTCAAGCAAAGGACAGCAAGAAAAGCTTGTATTTAAAAATTAAGATGTCATGCTTCCTATTGGTTTGTAATGATAACAGTTCTTTAGTAAAATAGCTCAAATATTTACTAATATTTATTTCAAATGTGTTATTTATAAGACATTTTTGTTTGTCATTTGTTACATCTTCACAGTTATTTAAATCACTTTGACTTAGATCAGTCTGCTCTACAGACTGTACTGTAGATTTACAAGTACAAGCCAGGGCAATGTTTCCATATGTACAGGCAAGAAGAATAGAGGCTTTTTACAGCCTGGATCCATTTCTACCTTGGGTTTTTTGTTCCTTTCTAATCCTAGGGGAGGACTATTAATCTTATCTTCTAAAGCAGTATATATGCTGGTTTTAAAAAGTAGGATTATCCTCAGTTCCTCTTATGTGTGTGTTCCATAAAGGAGGAAAAACGAAAATCTGAGTGCAACAAGTAACATCCAGGTCTTCACTTGGATAATTGTTCTAAATACATTAAAAATGTATAAAAATAGTCCTTTATTTTTTGCTTCTGTAAGAATAGGGAGATCTTGTTTATGGCATCATTATTATTATTATTAGTGCAGCTGCATCCACTTAAACTGTTATGCATGTTAGATTCAGAGATTTGTAAGTAGATATATTTTTCTGATTTTTGTTATGAACACAAGATGATTGTATTTGAGTTAAAATCTTGTATTTCCAATTTGTATTTGAAATGTTATCTGTCGCATTATGCAAAATTAGAGGAGAGTCTTGCTTACTGTGGGATAGATGCCTATTTGCCCTGCTTCCTGATAGTAAGAAATACTTTGAAAAAGAAAAAGAAAAAATAAATCCTCTAGGAAGTCTGATTTTAACCTCATCCTCCCCACAAAGCATCCTAGATTGCCCTGTTTTAATTTCTTAAGTACAGTATCTTGCAGAGATGCTTGGTGTGCTGTCAGGGTGTGAAATTTCCTGCCATGTGTTTATTGAATCAAAATGGTTAGCGGAATTTGAAAATAGCTTCTAAGGTAATGAAATAATACTGTCACTTAAATGTCTTTAATATCAACTGCTTATATAGGTTTAACCCCTCGTGGCTCAAGAGAGAGATTTGCCTGATCTGTGTTTATTTGGGAAGAAATTTCCCTCTAAGGACATATTATCTTGTGTTCATCGTGGTGGATTTATCCACCTCTGTGATTCATCTGGTACTGGCGTCTGACGGAGACGGGGACTGTAAAGTAGATGACAAATTACTTCTAACATCAGATGGAGGTTCAGTTAAGGTCACTTTACCTTTTCACCTGTAAGATACATGTTTGGGCAAACTGCATGTGCAGTTTGCCTTTCAAAAATGGTACGTTCTGTGTGTAGGTATCCAGGTGCTGCTGCTCCTTCACGTTTGGGAGCTGTGCAGTGTATGTCACCACCTTAAGAGGAATGGGCTTTTTTGTGTTTGAGTAGGCGGATGTGGAGAGTAGGTGTGGAAGTCAGCAGCAAGTCATTCATGTCAGTGGTTCAGTAGGTGGCACCCTTTCTCTGAAATTACTGTCCTGGTAAAGTATTTGTAGGAAGGATTTGGTGAGAGGCGCATTTGTTGAACGTGACATTAAATACATTTCGATAACTTGATCATTGGAGCTCCTATAATGCATTTTCCAGGGTTATGAGGTTGTTAACCTTGCTTGTAATGTGTAATTGCATTTTGTCTACTGCAATTCCTCTCGTAATTCCAGCAGGATGCGATAGCATTCTGCACTTTTTGCCTTAAGGTGATTTATAGATGTGCTGTGGAAAGAAGAGGTGCTGTTTTGTCAGAGATGAATTAAGTGTTTCATACTATTTTTAGAGGTTTTGCGTTAACTCTGCATAAAATGTTGCAGTAGAAATGTTGAAATGAAGTGGCTCTCCAGTGGTGCCTATTGTGGGAAACTGGTACCACTGACAAAAGCAAGAAGTTGGCAGCAATTTTAAAAGTGTGATAGGATTGTAATAAGAAGACTTAGCACGTGTATAGTGTTCTTTGAAAATGTGGTTTTGTTTTCTGAATACTTAAAATATACTTCTTTTTGGAGGTAGGCAGGGATAACGATGCTGAATTAGCAAGCTATTTTAAACTTGGCTGTAATTAAGGTTGAAATGCCAAAAAAATACATGTGTCTATTTAAAAAAAAAAAAAAAATACTGGCTCAAAAAAAATAACATTACATTTTTCCAGGCAAGCCATATAAAATGCTGAGCAGTTTCTTGTGAAGATGTATTTATCTAATACGGGATAATCTTTCTTTTGTAAACTCTTTCTGTTGTGAAACATAACTAGGTTTTCTCTGTAAGTTAGACATTTGGCCATGTTTATGAGTTTCTTTTTAAATATTTCCATTCCTCATTTTTCTCTCATTGTAATAAAATCAACAGTTAAAAAACACAACTCTACAATAATAGGAATTTAAATAGATATCTTAATTTTTGTGACATTCATGAGGTGCAAAAGTGCTGTGGCTTTTTTCATATTCCAACACTCATTTTCATAAAATGTCCATTTCAAAGAAAGTTACTGTGTGGTTTTAATACACTATACATACTTTTAAATTGTCACCAGGTGCATTTGCATGAGGTATGTGGACATAATGTCTTGAAATGAAACACTTAAGTGTGTTGAAGATTTAATGTATGTTTGGAATGCTTGTCTGATTAACCCTTCCCTCGTCCTTTTATTTATAAGTGTCCTTTAACATGGACTTGTGTTTTTATAGTCTTGTATTATTAAGTCACGATGACCTCATTATGACAGATACATGAAAGGAAGGCATCTCTGTTGGGACTCAATGCACACGTTTTTAATTAAATAGAATATGAAGGTCGATAGTGTTATGCCAGTACTTGCTGTATATGACAGTAAGAAGTTACTGTATGAGACAGTCCATTCTAAAATGGGGAGCTACCTTTCCTCGTGTAAAATATTTTTAAATCCTGTTACTGGTCAGTTCAGAGACTGAAAGAGTTAAGAACTTAATGTGAGGAGCTGTATGAAAGTAATTTGAGGATACCTTACGTGCTGACTGGCACGACTTGAGGAGACAAGTTTGCCTAGGTCCAAAGATAAAATAGAAAGGCTCTCATGGCGTTTCTGGTAATGCCCGGTTGGAGGGGAGGGAATCCATATGAAAAAGTAGGCAGAAAGGTGTCTGGCAGCACTAATTGGGCATATGTCTGTAATGAGATATTTTACACATATTCTGTATACTTAGGTCATTCTGTTCTGATTTGAGATTCACATCAGAGTATCCTCCTTGTGAATACACTTGGCTTTAGCAGGCCTAGAATGGTTAATCCCAAGTAGAATGAGTCCCTGTATTTAGAATGCACGTAAGAAAATGCGCATAGTGATGCATAACTGTGTCTAGGTGTACACTGGCAGTTTCACCTCCGTGTTTTAGTTGTACATCTTTAAAAATCCAGTTTGCATTAGAAACCTAGCCTGTGAAGTTAATGCAACTTTCTACTGACAGTCTGCTTGACATTCCATTTACTTCTCTTCATCGATATATATTGGTTAAAAATGTATTGTTCAATGTGGTACGTTTGACTTTCAAGGAAAAGCTGATTTCTGTATTAATACTCTTAGGCTGAACAGTAGCTTCATTTTCATAGTCCAATTAAGTTGTTTTATGGCAATATTATTCTTCCTTATAGTTAACACAAGAAGAATGTAGGGGTACACTATACAAATATAGAACTGAAGAGCTGGATATTGATGTAAGTAATTTGTATTTCTTCTTCCTTGGAAATGTTGGTATTTGTCTCTTTATTTTAATAATAATTTCCTCCTTGACTTTTGGGTTGGAAATGCACTTCACATAGGTGATTACCAACAGAAATTGCTTTGTGAAATTGAAGGGCATAAAACTCTCTTTGTAATAAGCTTCTAACTTGTGGGAAGTATTACAGTTTAGGCTGAAATTTCAAGTATTGTGTCTGTTCAGAGGTGAATTGCTTCTAGAAAGGAATTCATTACTTCAGAAGAGAAAAACTCTGTGGTTGTAGTTCAGTTACAAACATGAGAGATGTAATTTCTCAGGAAATATGACCAATACTCCAAAACTGAAATTTGGCATGGGTAGTTACCATGCAGAGAATTGGGTTGCTAATTACTAAAGAAAAAGGGCTCGGTGTTTAAAGTCAGGTTTAAAATCGATGGTGAAAAATACTGACGTGGTCATAGTGTATATGCATACATACGCATGTCGAGCCATTCTTGCACAATGCAACCAAGAGTAGAGCTACTGATTAAGGGATGTTATTTTAAGATTTTTTTTAAAAAAAAGCAGGCTTCCAGTGTTATCTTGGAGTTAAAAGGTCAGAGCAGCACAAAATGAACCCAAAAAGTTGTTCAAATAGAAAAGTAGACTGGGTCAAATTGGTTAGAGTGCACTGAACGGTCATTTGCTCAAACTGGAGCTGGAGTGGAACAGTTTTAGTCATAGCCAAGCCTCCATCAGAGGTAAAACAGAGTGGAATGTGGATAGTATTAGTAACTATTAAAAACCTGAAATAAACCATGGGAAAGACTGTGAATGTATGCAATATTCTTCATAACACTGAGGAATATGTAAATTAAAATGTTATTTAATACCTATTATTAAGTTGTAAAGATTTAGCTGTAGAATCATAAATTACATGTTTTAAGCCACGCTGTTTCAAGTTATAATAACACTTATTTCAATAGTATCTTAAGAGGGTTTCTTAAGGTTCATTTGAAAATACAACCCTGATGCCTTCAGAGTTTTGGAATTCATATTTTGTGGTAATAAAATTTTATATAGATTCTTGCAATGATTTGATCAAGTTATATTTTGTTTGCTGAAGATGTTAAAAATGAAATCCTAATTGTGATCACTTTCTGTTATATACTAGGCTAAGCTTAGCCGTTTATGTGAACAAGATAAAGTTGTACAAGCACTGGAAGAGAAGCTTCAACAGCTACACAAGGAGAAAGTAGGACAATTGTATTTATTACCTAAAGTGGATGTTATTTTACATGCTTATAATCAGAACATTGGTAACTGAAATAAAAATGAAAATCAGCCCAATGATGCAGAACATTAAAAATAATTCTTTTTGTTATAATAGTACACGCTTGAGCAAGCTTTGCTCTCAGCAAGTCAGGAGATAGAAATGAATGCAGATAATCCCGCAGCCATACAAAATGTAGTCTTACAGAGAGACGACTTGCAGAACGGACTACTTAGCACTTGTCGAGAAGTATCGCGAGCTACTGCAGTAAGTAATACATTCTTGCCAGTAAAACTCAATGAAGTGTTAAACGATTATCTTCATATTCTTAATTGGGTTATCTTTGGTTATTTTTCATTACATTCTAGCAAAACTCAGTTGTCTTTTACTTGCTGGTATTTTTGTCAAAGGCAGCTGGAAAATGATTTTTTTCACTATATTCATCCAGTAGCCAGTCTTTATTTTTTTTTGGCCAGGAATAAGTGCATACTGACCTGAATTGGTGTGGTAATTTTCATCTTTATAATATGAAAAATTGATTACAGAAGAAGGAAATAATGCAAATAAGCTATTTTCTGTGATGGCAAAATAGTAGCAAGCACAAACTTTATCAGATAGGTGACTTATTTTAAGCAAAAGCAGCTGCAGGATGAAAAAGATTATAGTGTCATGGTCTCTCTTAATTGTGGGCCATTATATTTAAAAGATCTTTCAAGTTATGCAGTTTCAAAAATCTTAAAAAAAACCCCAAAACAACAACAAAGGAAAGGAACGGAATTGCTATTTACAATTGTTTTTCACTTCATGATGGTTTCTACACTGAAATGACAAGGTAAAGAATCGTTTTTGCCTCCTTACATATATATCCAAAATGGTCTTTCAGTGTCAAATTCCAGTGGTTTGCTGTGGTGAAATTGATACGAAGTAGGCCCTGAAATACTGGGTTTAGTCTGGACGTTAGACTGTGTTGTAACTGGAATTGGTTGGAAAAGGGAAAGGGAATCGGAGGAAAGGAAATCCTCAAGATATGCTTCCCTCATTAAGTTTTTAATTTACACTAAATTGTGTAAATTGCTTGATGCAGGCTTAAAAAGTGAGATGGTAGAGCTGACCTCAAAGAAGATTTACTTTTTGCACCACCTCCCTTCTGATGTTTGTAGTTTCACATATGTAAAATAACTGTGTATTAGCAGGCCGGGGGGCATTCACCAGTAACTTTACAGGCAGGGTTGGATGGCTTACATTTGTCTCGCATAATACATTGTGTATACACACACATGCTGTGCACTCACACATATGTATTCTAGGTGATAAAAGAGACAAATTTGCATCAATTTTTGTGGGTTTTCTGCCTCGGTGGAAGGACAGCTTAAGACCCACGTGCCTGCTGACTATAAAGACAGATTCTGAAGATTTTGCCCTTGCCTATCGTTTTTGTTTGTGAAAAGACAAAATGCTGCCTGGTTAAATTTCATTCAGTATCATTAGAAAATTATAAAGCTGTTCAAACATTGCATTCTCCAAAATACGTATTTCTTTATTGCTGATATCTATTTATGCATTACTTCCTGAAGTTTCATGCCAGTGAATAGAGAAAAATAAATAGACTTCTTTTTTTCTTTCTTTTTTTTTTTAACTTGAATGTGCATCTGTAATTCTTTTCTTTTGTTATATACCTAGGAATTGGAAAGATCTTGGAGAGAATATGATAAATTGGAGTATGACGTAACTGTAACAAGGAACCATATGCAGGAGCAACTCGATCGGCTTGGAGAAATTCAGGTGTGGCATAGGTGTTACATTTAAGTCACTTTCGTTTTCTATGATTTTGTTTAAAAACTACCCAAATGAAAAAAGGGGGACGTGTGGTGTGGTAACTTACATGATATAAAAAGAAATTAAAAGTTTCTAAGTTCTGAGCAGGTCTTTAGCTTTTCCTATTTTTTTTGAAGCTGCAGCACTGGTTTTCCTGTGTCTGGAAGCTCTTCTTTCTGTTTCAGTGATGGTATCCAAAATGGGGTATTTTTCTCTGACCTTGTTTGCTGTGACAGTCATAGTAAATCTTCACACAAATCCTTCCATTTAACTGAATATTTTAAAATGTAATTAAATCATTCTATCAAAATAAATTATAATAAAAAATTATTCTGAGCATTACTTCAGGTCTTACCTATGAAGAGTTTCTGACATGTATCTTATTAGCTCACGGTGCTGTGGAGGATTGGACGGTTAGTGTAAGTTCTGAATTTCTAGGGAGATCTTTCTGTGAGACACGCGCACACCCACACACATTATCTGGAATAGGCAGATGGGTGTGGCCCGTGCTGGGAGGCATTAAAGGATGCTTGCTCCAGGAATTGATTTTCTATGCAGCTATGAAAGGGAGATTACAAGGAAGCCCAAGCGCTGAGAAATTTATGTTAGGCAATCCAAAAAGCACGCATGGCCATGAATGCAAGTAGGCCCACAGTTTATATGGTAGCGTGCAAACAGCACGTTCATCTCCACCTATGTTAGGGTTGCAACTGGTGGTTCCTCTTCTGTCGTTCTCTGTAGGTCTCCTGTGGAGAGTTGGCTTGGATTTTCTTTGGAGACAGTAGATACAATTGTGTTCTTAAGTGGAGTTTGACCTAGCAAATTGCTGTCGAATTAATTGACACATTATGAAATTACTTAATCTTCTACTTGCTTTTTCTGACAATATTTGAACGTTGCATTTTTATGGGAGAGTGTCATTACTGTATTTTATTTTCCTTCATTGGGAAATTATATGCAGTGTAGTCTAAAGATAAAAAAAAGGTTTTCTGGTTTTTTTCTGCTTGCAATGTATTTGAATTTATTGCTTATATATGCTCTTTATTTACTGGCAGACTGAGTCAGCAGGGATACAGCGTGCTCAGATTCAGAAGGAACTGTGGAGAATTCAAGATGTCATGGAGGGTTTAAGTAAACATAAACAGCAAAGAAGTTCTTCAGAGGCAGGTAAACTGATTGTTTTTATCTTTGTAGGAGGTACACTTGGATCATATACATTTTTAAAGGATAAGCTCCATAGTTGCTTTTGTATGTTTGAAGAAAAATAATGGTGCCATTGCTGAGAAAGGAGGAAAGCAGTCATCTATTTTAAGTTGGTGCTTTGTGTATTTGTTTGATAGCAACAGGTTATAGTTCATATTTTAAAAGCTATTTATTGAAAACAATTTTTCTCTTTCTTTCTATGCCTTTCCCCCCTCCCCCCAAACAGGCCTCATGGGATCAAGGACATTTTCAGCTATTAAATATAAAAATGAGGTATGGTTTTCGTATATTTACCATTTTAGCAACACTGAATTTCTAATATACATATGATAAAAATTAGCATTATTATAATCATTTTAACAATATCTACAGTACGTATTCAGTATGTTTCTGTGAAAATATTGCATTATGAATGAATTTTAAAGACTGATATCTCCACTAGTAATTCTAACACTTTCATTTGTTCTGTGTCTTTATATTCTTACCAGTATGTTTCTCTTTTCCATTTCTCACCTTTTCCTCTCCCTAGGCTTTTACCCTAGAAATACAAACCCTGATTTATGGATTTGTTTTCTACCCACCACACTTTTCATGGGAAGAAATCCATTGCTTTATATGTCTATTCGCATATTGAGCCTGGTTCTCAGATGGCCAGAGCACCCACAAGAACAGCTGAAACTGTGGGAGCTCCCAAATGTTCAATTCCTCTGAAAATCTGGCTGAAAGTTATAATTTTAAAGGGACATTGTCATGGTTGTCTAAAGTTTTTGAAATATACATGTGGCCTATAGAACTTTCTAAAAGTCTAATTTATATACAAATCGTTAAAAAAGATATTGAATTTAATTTTTAAAAGGATGATCCAGAGAGTTCATACGTGTCCAACAGAAAGTGCAGGTGTTAGAATTGAAAAATCTTGATAAGCTGAATAATGAAACTATTGAAGTATCTCCGTCTAGGTGGTAGTAATAAAATAAAAAGCAAACAAAAGAACAAAAAAGCCCCAAAGAAACCCAAAGAAAATAAAGCTGTCTTGGCCTTTTTTTTTTTTTTTTTTTAATCATGACATTGTTCCCTTTAATTCCAAAATCTATAGCTGGTATAGCTATGGTAATATATTTTTCTTTTTAAGTTATGAATAATTGTAACAGGTGTGCACATCTAAATAAGGTGACTATTCTACAATCTTTAGGAAGAGGAAGTAGTCCCACCTCGTCCTCCACTCCCTCGGTCCTATGACTTTACAGAGCATCCTCCCATAATCCCCCCTCTGCCCAGTGATAGCAGCTCCTTGCTCTGTTATAGCAGGGGCCCAGTACATCTGCCAGAAGAAAAGAAGATTCACCAAGTTCAAGGATATCAGAGAAATGGATCTTACTGTGTAAGTGGCTTAAACTGCCACGTTGTTCCTGAAGCATCCCCCTTCCTTTGCACAGTCACAATTTTTATTTTGTCATCTGGCTACTTTTCTGTTACGTTTTTTACTTTTGGCTACTTTGTTTTATTTATAGCTCCATCATTTGCTCTTCACATTTTCCTGTCATATATTCTGTGCATATATGAAATGTCTTAAGACTTATATGCCTGTATCTGAGTAAATTTCAGAAAATTAAATTCTTTTGCTCACAAGTTCTTAAAAAAACTCTAGGCTCAGAATCGGTTTTTGCTGAAGCTTTATACAAATTTTTTTCCTGAAGATCATTTAAAAGAAAAAAACCCTGTGTTTTTACCGTAATTTTTTTTCTGTAATTTCTGAAAGTCTGCAAATATTGTTACTCAAATTAACTACAAAGAAATACTGCTGCAATAGCACTTGAACAATAAAACAGGGACTTAAAGTGAGAGCGGAGTCATCACAAAATAACTGGTTTGAGTCTTAAGACATAAATGCTTGTACAAAAATGCCTGTTTGTTTACCTCATAACTTCTCGTTCCTCAGGGTCCTGATTATAGGCTTTATAAGAGTGAACCCGAGTTAACTACAGTAGCAGAAGTGGATGAGTCTAATGGCGAGGAAAAAACAGAACAAATTTCAGAATCAGAATCTACAACTAAAGGTTTGTCCCCAGGCGTGGTGTTTACAACGTTTCAGCCTTTTTCACAAGGAATATGAAGCTTTAACTGCGTTACAGAAGCTATATCATCCTTCGTATTTTTGTAGCCTCTCCATTTCTTAAAACGATGAAACAGCTTCCAGGATAAAATAATGATTTAATTATATGACGAGAAAGATTTCAGTCAATTACACTGCAGAAAAATCAAACATTACACTCACCAACAGCCCTGAAATCCGTATTGACACCATGTCTAATCACATCACTCACATTCCCCACACACCATTCCCTTGAACAATTACCCATTTTATGTTCTTACCCTTGAACAATTATTCAGTTTTTGAATCAAGCTCCCGATGTTATGTCACTGGAACGTCCAAAAAGGCAGCACCACAGAATTTTCAGGCTCTCATAAGGCAGGGAAACAATGTCTTTTTCTTTTTTTAATCTTGTAATTGTTGAATTGCCTTCTGTCCTCTGATATAATAGGAATAATGATCATGACCTTGGAACGTACAGACAATAAAGGTCTTTGCAATTGCTAAATGCTTTAGATTCTTCTCTTCATCTAGCTTCCATAAAAGCTACTAATTGCTTGGTAGAGTCTTTTACCAGGAAGTGCTTCTTAATTCTGTTTGTTAAAACACACAGAATAGTTTGTTAAAGGTGACTTCAGGAAAAGCAGTTTTAGCACCTCCCAAAAACCATATTAGGAGCTTTTAGAAAAAGTAACTAAACTCAGCCATTTGTTCTTACCGTGACGGTTGATTTTTCCAGTGCCAGCAAGACCACTGCCTTCTATTATGGTAGTTTGACTAAGCATGTACATAGCAGGCTGGTGCAACAGTACCAGAATTTGACCAAGAACTATGATCATATAAGGCTGCTATTTTCACCAGAATAGTAATGGAGGTTTTTAAAACTAAGGTTAGCATACAATTTGGGTGTAAACAATGTGAATGGCCCTGTGATACATGATATAATTAAGCTCGTGCTTACCAGACAATTAGTCAATTCAGTTTCACTATGGTATTTGCTGAGGTATAATGTTCACTTAAGACAGATATTAAATCTTGTTTTACTTATGGTGAAAAGTGCAAGGTTTGAGCCTGAGATTTGCTAATTATCAGCCACCTAAATTGAAGAAGCTGCCTTTCTGACAACTTACGTAGGTTTTATTGACCTGTGGTGTTCCAGACTTTTTGATACTAATTTATAACAAGAGGAAAAGTAATTGTCGAGATGATATAAGAAAGCCTGCACTGATTACATAAAGCAAACCAATACTTTTTGAGCACCCCAATCTGCTTTCTGTCTTCTTCTGTAAAGACGGAAGTAATTTTATTATGTCCATTTCTAGAAAACCAGTTCTCAGTAAGGGAAAAGCAATAATACAAATTTTTCTAATATAAATAATATTTGGGGTTGGGGGAGAGAATAGCTGCAGTGATAGCAAGCAGCAAGAGGCTTTTTATCTTCTTGAACAACAGCGTGAAGTAGCTTTATCATAGCTGTGTTTTTTCATCTGGTCCACACTTTTGAGCATGTGAATTTTCTAACAAATATTTCTTGTTCTATGTATTCATTTATAATAACAATCCCCATGCAGTAGGAAAAATATAACCATTCCTGGGGTTTTTTTATAGTACATAATGCCATTACAACTATATGCTGTTTCAACAAACATTTTTATGCCATTCTATCTTAACAGTTTATAAGCTGAAAAGGAAACAAACTCAAAGGCAATTCATCTCTGCAATTTCTCTTACTTGCTGTTTTAAGAAGTTGTATTTCAATGATGCAATTTCCTGTTGAGGGTGGTTCTAAAAATTAGTACATTTCAGAGGAAATTTAAAAAATGTTTTTCTAGTTCATTGTGTGGGTTACTGTACTAGATACTTCTCCTGTTTGTTCTGTCAGCCATTTCCCTCTCTTTTCAAATGTCAACAGTCAAAGAGAAACATTTTAATGGGACTATGTAAAGTAACCCTTACAACTGTCTGCAAGCAGAGGAGTATTTATGACCTGAGTGGTACATAAAGGTGACACAAAAGGAAAACGGACTTCTGCTGCATGTTATCCTTTTTTAGATCTAAAGAAGACCCAAACTGTTGCTTTATAGTTTTTGTTTTGAATGATAGATTTGACATTCAAATACGTCCAGACTATTTGGTCAGCCTATCAAACAAGTTGGAGAAAGAGTTGAGCCTTCACCGAGTAAATATATCCTCTGAAATGTGTGCAACTTCAGGAAAATCAAGGAGAAATAATTTGGCTATTAAAGAAGACATTATATCTATTTTTAGGCAAAATCAGTGAGGAAACAATATTTTTAATACTTTGATTTCCTGCATGTATCAAGCAGCAAAAATGAAGCATGCATTATTTAATTATATCTGTATATTTTGGTAAGTTTTAACTTCAGTTTTCTACCAGCTGAATTACATTTTGGCAGGGCTTCTTGTAAGTAGAAAAACTAATGGTGGATATTGTTCCAAGAGGCTGAACGTAGTAGACATCAGGACCAGAATATCCTCAGCTCCCAACCAGACAGAGCCTGGCTGCTTCGGTTCCCTATCCCTAAGTACGGCAAGCCGCAAAGCTGAGGACGTCGTCCCACTGTGCACGAGCGCAGCCACAGCTCACCACCACAGATAATGCAGACAGGTTTGAGAGCAGTGCTGTCACACAGGCACTGTGTAAACAAGTCCAGCACTCACACGAAGGTGAAACAAGACAAATGGCATGATCCTGTTCTCTCTCGCCAGCTAACCAGGCTCAAAGCGTGCTAGCTGATCTCATACACATGCAGACGTGAGCACGTGTGCGCACATGCACAAATGAGTCTGTCCAAGAGCTGGCCAGACCTATGGTATGGTATCTCTATCAGTCAACTCTCAGTACGTCTGGCCTCTCCAGTATCTGAATCCTAGACCCAAGGTCTCTTGGACAGCTGTCTCCCACACCTTGTATTCTGCTTGCCACCTAGCCTTGTCTTCAGCTCCTTAGCATCTCACAGACAAAAGATTCCCCCTGGTAGCAGCTCCAGACTTAGGGTCCCTCTGGTAGCCAACCTGCAGACCTCCAGTCTTTCCTGTCTTTGTCCCCCAGACCTATGTATGAGCTCTCTGTAGCTGTCTTGTACTGGAGAGCTAGCCTGGCTTGAAGATCACTAGCATCTCTCGTGCTCTCATACAGAGAAGAGAAAGCATGCTCACATGGAAAATACTTAAGAGTGGAGTTTAATAACAAGATAGGACAGACTGCAATGCTAAGGCACGGGGCTTGATCAGACAAGCGTGCTGCCAAACGGCTTGTTTGTGCAAAGCTGCCCCCTTTTATTCCCCCTCCTCTCCATTATTCTGTGCCTGTTCTTTCCCATCCGCCTTTCCCCATCCCTTTTGCAGCATTTGAACAACCTGTCCATAATTACTTTTTGTTCGTTGGTCCCACTTCTGCTAAATTTTGTATCTTTGACACCATTGTCTAGGTAAGCTTGGCCTTAAGTGGTAGCACTGATGCCTTTACCTAGGCACTCTGCTGGCCTTGCAAACTCTATTCCATAAAAAGTTCCCAGTACTGATGTCCGATTGTCTGTGAAATTTGGCCATCCTTCACATAATTCCCCCTTAACCATCTGTGAAAGCTAGCCATTCCACACAATGCTATCTAACTTGTGTCTGTTTCTCACAGATAAAAATCTTATGTTTATATTTTTATGTCCAGCAATTTCTCATGCCACACGTAGTAGTTTCCCATGGGGAAAGTCATCTGCCTGCATACCTTAACAGATGTGATAGTTAGGCATTAAGATCTTTGCTGTGTTTTGAAGAATAGTTTCCAAGGTTGGCAACATCTATGTTCTACAAAACAATAAACTGTTTTGGCAACGTTTTGCATAGCACTTAGTATGTTGCTTTACTGTTTTGCAGGCTCACATTTTCCTGTGGGAGTTGTACCACCCAGAACCAAATCACCAACACCAGAGTCTTCAACAATAGCATCCTATGTCACTTTGAGGAAGAATAAGAAGATAGATCTAAGAACGGTACTTTAAAATAACCTTTGAGCATTGATGATGTATAGTGATGTGTTCCTTTCTAAGTTTAATTTTTGTAGTTACTTCAAAAGCTGTATTTAACTTTTTAATTTTCTTTACAAAAAAATTCACTGTTATAAAACTATATACTAAGTTAGCAAAGACAGCTGTAGAAAGAATGACAAAATTAAAAGGTTGTGTATGTTAAATACACATAGAAACACTCGAACTGGGCAAGATCTAAATGGTGATGATAAAGCTATTAAGCTACTGAAGTTCAGGCTTGAGTTGAAAGGACATGAAGCATCTTAGGTTAAAACTTTGAAGGACTTGTATTTGGCTTCTGGGGCAATTTAACAGCCCTTGTGTAACAAATACTGGCTTTTATTTATTTCATGGTTAGCATGATTTGGGAAATACCTAAAGCAGCCAGAAAATAAAGATACAGTAAGCAGTATGTGGGTCAATAAGCCTGGGATTTCAGATTAGAGAGTCTTGTAGTCTCTGGGTTGAAGACAAGATGTTTACCTGTAGTTCATGCTAAAGGGAGGAAAACATTGGCAAAAGTTACAGCATGAATAGAAAAGGATATGTTGTAGGAAGAATGGGAGAGGAGAGAGACACTCACAGGACATTGACTTGAGAAAGAATACCACTCTTCAGAAGTGAAATCAGTTACTGTGAATGTACTGAATGCAGCTGATTAGTTTGAAGTAATTTTTTTTTTTTTTCCTGTCAGACACAGTGTAGATCTATCTGAAAATCAGTGAATTTGAAGAACAGAGTAGGTAAAGTGATGGTTGATATTTTGGTAATAATACAATGCTTAGAATTACAGGTTTTTAAGTGGTGATAAATTCACTTTGTTTCAGCCTGCACTTGCCGTTAAATGATGTCCAACTGTAGTTTTTCTTGAAATAAAAAGGCTTCACTCTTAGATCAACTGGTATAAATGTCCTGGATCATTAAATTTCAATTACGTTTCTGTCTCAGTCAAGTAACTTGTGTTTGCCCATCGTTTTAATGTCTGGTAAATTGTATCAACTTGATAGGATGACTTTAAGAGAGCATCTACCTGTTCTCTTAGTGTTTATCATTAATGTTGGTAATGTTGCTGTTCAAAAAAGCAAATCCCACGCTTTCATTTTGAATTTTGGTGTTTATTTATTAATAATATAAATAATTGGTTCTTGTACTTTCTTCACATACTTAGGAGATCTTTACTTGCCTGCTATTTTTCTCTTTTTTTAGGAAATCATTAGGTGATCTTTTCTGGTAATCCAATCAGTTTAGAATCTTGGTTTTTTAAAACAT